AGGTTGAAGTTTGGAGTGTGGGGAGCGCGAACGCACCAACTGACAAGCGCAACGGAAGACGTTTTCGACCGACCGTGGTCCGTCCCCAACCCTCCCGATGTCCAAGCCAGGAGCAGGACGAGTGACCGGTACATGCAAGTCGCTCTGCCGGAGGCTGCCGCCAAGGCACCGGTTTTCGAATACCGTACCTTGCAGCTCTGATCATGTTTCAAACGGAGATTTCACTCTGCTGCCACTACCACCAACTACCACTGATCAATTCATGGGTCGGTTCTGACCCGTCCATTGGCATGCATGAGGCAAGGCAATATTTCTTCTGTTCCCTTGATTCCTGGCGGCCATCTCCTTCCTCAGGCTTGGGCTCTCAGGGTGCACATGATGCAAAAGGTGGTCCATCCCTGAATAGAAAAGACCGTATTTTTAAGGTTCCTGAGCTGCGACGGCTGTCAGAGTTTGAGGCAATTGCAAGCGCTTTGTTGGCAAGTTGCTGAATCCTTCTCTTTGCTGGCCTTTAAAGCTCTTGAAAGCAAGGATGATGGCAGGAGCTCGGATAGCACCTCATCGTAATTTTGTCGCTAGCAATGGGGTCCTGAGCAGTGGTCAATTGCGGGGCACAGATTTGCGGCCACCTGTTCAACCATGCCTCTGTGGTTTCAGTCAGCGGCTGTTCCGGAGACGTCACCTTGATATTGTTTCGAAAGGACAATCAGCACAGAGTTTTACAACTGTCTTATCTCAGCAGCCGTTGCATTGTCAACCCGTTGGGGTTGAGCACATGAACCAGGCGCGAGGTGAGTGGCAGAGACAACTCCTGTTCCGTTGCTTTTGGGAATCGACTGCAATGAGTGAATCGCTTGGACCTTCAGCACAACCCCGGTTCCAATGGTTGTGGTAAGAACAAATGCTTGTGCTCAGGTTGGCAGTCACGCAGGAAAGTCGATTTTATAGAACGCAGCATTGGAACTTGTGGCACCCTGTGATTCTTTGCATGAGTGGTGTGTAGCACTACTTATAAGACATTGCTAGCTCATGGCCTCTTGGCCCGCTTCCAGACCCCTCCTTGCCTTTCCAAATTGGACGGCCAGACTAGTTCGTCCTGGAAACCGGTAAATGTGATTGTCCTGGTTGTAGCCAGGGCGTAAATTTGGAGTCCTACATATGTCTGTTTAAAATGCACGTAAAAAAAGATTCGAATGCAGCTCCTCTGCCAGAGTTTCTCTCCTTCATGAAGTTGTAACAAGTCATTTGATGCTGATTCATTGATCCTCTTTCCATCACCAGGCAAAAGCACGACCTCTCAGTTTGCATATTGGGTCTTGCAGGAAGAAAAAGTAAGTTGCGCCTTTCAGCCACCGCACAAGCTGGCGGCCAAACAAACAGGGCCAACCTGCGGACTTGCAAGCAGTGCAAGCAACAGTATGATCCTGAAAGTAACCATCCTCGGGCATGTAAATACCACACCGCCCACTATGGAGGTGGGTTTTCTACAATCTTTCTTGTTTGTGGTCATCATCTATTGATTGAGAATCCAGACCAAGACGAGATGCAGATCGATCGAAACACCGCTCGACACTGCAGACAAGAGCTACCTCTGATCCTGCTCGTCAAATCTTCCGATACATATGGCCCGCGGTTCTTCCATTCCTTCACGTTCAACGGAGATTGGGTGCTGCTTGTGTTAAGCTAACCTTCTTTGGACCCCTGTTTGGACTTCATCTCAACCACATGTTTAACGTCTCAGGGTGATGTAAGATTTCCTTCTGCAAGAAGCAGCCCGGTCAGACTCGTAGGTTTATTTTCAAGGTGATATGGTGATGCACTTCGTATTTGTATTTCAAGGGTTTTTCCGTTTCACTTGCACTCACTTCACAAGTTGCTCTTGCAGGAGAGACGAGACGGAAGTTCGAAGTGAGTTGTTTCCCTAACTCCCTAGAAACTATTTTGTGTTCCTCCAAGCAATGCACATGTTATGTATCTCGTTGCTCTCCAGTCCAATGTTGTGGCCTTGCACCTGTCTAGTTGTTTGTTTGTGAATGTTTCATTTTCGTGTTCTTAGAGTGTCTACGAGGGGGGCACGCTGACAACTGCGGATGGGGGCAAGATAACAGCATATTGGCATTGCTGTGGCAATCAAGATCCAACAGATCCGGGATGCGAAGCAGCGCCACATAGATCATATGACGAATGATTTAACCGTGACGTTTTGTCGATGGATTGTTTTCAGCCGTGTTGAAATAGGGAGCTGTAAACGAGGTGGTCATAAGAGGGTCACGTGCTCTTTAGAGTCTATGCTACGTGCTGTATATTACTTGCTGGTCACTGGAGTTGGAGAAGCAAATCAAGACCCGGGGTATACTTACGTCTTGAAGGTAGTTGCGCATCTGAAATGGAATCATTTCGTCTCCTGGCAGTCCTATCGAGTTCACACGTTAGGGGCCCCGCTCTACTCCGGTACTACATTTTCGAAGCTTCAAATGGGGGAGGTGCTTGGCTATTGGGACTGTTGCGGAGCGACTGATAATGCGCATCCAGGTTGTGTCGAGGGACCCCACACGTCGTATGAGGATCTATGAACTTACATGCTACTGCTTGTCGGCGGCTGTGCACCACGTACGTTCCACTTGGATTGTATGTAATTTGCATGGAGGTTATTCTTCGCGTGCAAAAGTTGGCCAACTCGTCATGGTTTGATGGGTCGGACTAAATATTGCAATTTCACTTACTCAAAACTTGAGGTCACATGTGCACACGTCGAGCCAGTAATAGAAGTCTTTTGAGTGTCGATTAGTTGACGTTGATTAAGTGACACACATCAAGTCTGTATCAAGGATCTCGCAACATCTGACAAATGCGTAAACGGAGTTAGCATGGTACATGTTGAACCGTTGAGTTGATTTGCATGCATCGCACAATGATCCTGGTATATGGAATAGCTATTGCCCCTCAACACGGTGTTTCCACAAGCAATTGACCTGCAGCTGCCGTCCGACATATAAATTGGATGCTAACTTAGGTAAATTGATTGACATTATGGCGTCAACCCGTTCGGTGATTGGGTAGCTATCGCATGGAAGTGTCGCCTTTGTTGCGATCTGCAAGCTAGTTCCGTGCTAAGGCCATGCAGAGTAGGATCACTATTGCACCAGTTCATGCGTTGGCATTCCATCTCATGCGCAAGTTGAAGCCTCGCTATAAGTGACAACCCGACTCATTCAGCGAAGTCGGCTAAGAGCTAAGTCAGGACTCCAGCTATTAGGTAGCAGGGTGTGTCTGAATGGCACAGTGACCAGTCTGTGCCTTGTGGAGGCTTGGAGGAAGGGCCGGCAATCTTGATTTACTAAGATTTGGGATCTCAACGGATGGTTCGATACTCCCTGCCCTGTATCTGGAAAAAGCATCGGACGGTAAAAGTAACTGCCGGATCAGCTTAAATTCAGGAATCAAAATCTGGCGGGAGAAGTTTGAAAAGTCTGCGAAATATTTGCCCATCGCACACCAATCCAATAACTAGGTAAGTTAGTACCCAGGGCCAAGGCTGCAGTGAAGGGCCAAGAGCTCCGTGCCCGAACAACGCGGGGTGCGAGTTCGTGTCTCTAACGCCCTAAGCTTATTCACTGGCCCCAGAACTTTGGCAACATGGCGGACTTGCAAGACCTTGAGGACGATATCGACCTGCCCGAAGAAGCGGTTGCAAGTCCGGTGAAGCGGCCATTGTCAAGGCTCAGGCGAAAAGGGGAGCAGTTGCCTGATCCTGGGGGCATTGAAAGCGAGTTGCCTCCTGATAAGAACCCAATTCTAGATGGTTTTCGAGTCAATGAGGAAGATGTTAGTGAGGGGCTCGAGCCCGACGATGAGAGATATTCAAATCGGGCAAAAAGCTATGAAGAAGAGGGGGCACGCGTTTCACCAGACCAGGATGAGGTTTTCAGCGGGATGGAGCCAGAGGGGTCTGAGGAAAGGCATATTGCAGGGTACTCAGACAATGACGATGATAACCTGCCTGAGGAGAGCGATGAAGAGGCAGAGCTGGCTCGCAGGTTGCGAGAAGGGGAGAGCGAGTCAGAAGGGGAAGGTAGGGGTCTCTGTCTTCGTTTTGCCGACAATATGCAACGAGAGTGATTATAGCATCTGATATGTCTCAGTCTCAGTGAGCACCATGTCATCAAACTCCTGAAGGGCCCTCTCTATCTTTGCGCAATATGTTACTTGCCATTTAGAACGGTATGATCTGGAGTACCTGAGTCTTTGGATCGTTCGCCTTAGGTGGTCAAGTAACGGATCGAAACTTTGCACCATTGCAAGAGTTCCTTCTCAATTCTACTACAAAGTAGGCTCTTCAGTAATGATCCTTGATCAAAAGAAGCGGATGTTGTTAGAAAAACCATTGGGTTTGGGATTTTCTGTTCTCCTTGTTGTCCAGCAACTAAAAGGCCGCCTTTGACTTGCACCTACAAAGACAACCTGAGGTGCCTTCCCTTCCCAGGACAACTCTGAGTCTCTGTAAGTAGCTTGTATGGCCCCCTGGCAGACTATGGACGAAGGTGGCCTCAGGTAACATTGTCTGCTGAATGCAGGCGTGAGAAGGCTGGGTTGAACTCAGCAGTCCACACTGATCAATCGCATGCTGGCGGATCTTCTCACACGGTAGAGCCAGCCAGCCTTTATCATTTCTAATGTCACCAGATGCAAAAATATTGATATTAGTATTTGATAATGATAGTATTTCAATATCATGACCTTCGTCATCGTCACGTCCTCGAAGATTGAACGCTCGTATCGGAGGCTTGGCCCATCTCAAAAGAAGCGGCTGCAAGCACGCCATCCAGACAAACATCACATACTCAATATCCAAACAACAAGGTTATGAAACCCATGTACGCTAAACCCCAATTTTACTATTCTGCAGGGGGCGGCAGTGACTCTGACAGCGACGCAGGGGAGGCCCACCGGAAGAGAGCTCGGGAAGAGGGCGCTGAGGGAACTAGAGATGGGGACGGCTCGGAAGCAGAGGCAGAGGAGCTTGACTTTGATAAGGACCGGGATGATGACGAATATGAGTTCCCGTCGCAGCCCGATGTCCTGCTCAAGGTGAGCGTTTAGATTTGGTGTTGGCTGGTAATGTGCTTTGGGCTTTGCAACCAAGGTCTTGCATCCTGGTTAACAAATATGCCAGTAGAATTTAGTATTTGCTAAGCTGCGCACGTACCCTGATCCAATAGAAGCCAAGTACCGTGTATGAGCTCTCACACGCTTTTGACTTTTAACTAAAGCGACTTCAAGGTGGGAACGTGAAGGGCTCGTACCTTTCACCACCACGTGTCGCTGCTTTTACGTCCGTTTACGGACTCTTGTTTGTTGACAAGCTGATTTCGGTCTGCGTTCTGCTGACGACGCCGATGGAGAGTGGCTTTCCTTCTGTCTTTGTCTTGCCCTTATGATGCTGCATAGATATGCTGGTGAATGCTATTCGCGGTTCTTCTGTCACACTCCGCATGCATGGGCAGTCCGTCTTACCTCAGCCTCCATGGCTCCTTTGCAGAAGCATAAGAGGAGGAGGGACGGAGAAGGAGATATCCATGCCGAGTCCCAGCGGCTACTGAGAGGTGAGGACTGCAAGAAGTAAACCGTACCTTGACAACCACAAGTAATCATCTCCTCAGGACACAATATATGTGTACTAGTGCAAAAATGAGGCGTTGATTACCAGGGTTTGGAAAGTCGACTTACAGCAGGATCGCACACCCAAGTAGGAATCAAGACGGGGAGCTGTTGGCAAGTATAAGATCTCGCATGCTGTTTGCAGCTCGTTAACATTCTTGATAGGAGAAGTTGCGAATTCGCTTCCCCAACGCAAAAACCACACTGGCGCCAACGTTGCTTTGTGGAATCGACGACTTTGCTGCATGATTCTGTAAGTGCCGTTCCTGTCCTGGCAATCTTGCCAGCTGTTGGCAGCCGGGGATAAAGCTCTCTCACTCTCCTTTTTGCAGAAACTCGTGGAGTGTCGTTCAAGCCTCAAGCGACTGTACAAAAGCCGCTCTCAAGCCTGCTCGAGAAGATCCGGAAACGGAAGGAAGAGCTGTTTGGGGCCAGGTAAAAGTTGCTTGCGTTCCCGTTCAAGCGTGGCCGTTCCATATCTTTCCCTGTTCCTCAAGAAGGGAGACGTTTACAGGAGCGTCTATTTCGATTCGATTCCAGTCTTTTCTTGGGCGCGGAGGTTCTCTCTCGAGTCTTTGCTCATCATCTTTTATGCAGTGATCGACTATGGGAGTTCGAAACAGCCGTACGCACATCCATTAAGACCAGCCCTTGTTCGACTGAATCTTTATGCACGCGGGAGAGCACCACTCCGGTTTCGTATCTTATTCTAAATGCGGAAGCTTCCTCTCTGACGTGGACCACAGCAGGAATGTCATATCGTGTCACAGACAACCAAGCAGATCAGATTGGAGCCTTTGTCTTCAGCATGAGATACTTCGTGGGAGTGACGCCCGATTGGACCCTAAAGCCATTTATATAACCCTCTGCCCGGCCCCTAGTTGGTTCGAGAGGGTCACGGGAAGTTTTGGCCGCTAACCAGGCTGACTACCAGACTTGAGTCTTACTTATGAACACATTTGACCATGCTCCTAGGCAGGCTTCCGCCCAAGTCTGGTGAACGTACTTATATCTACTCTATAATCTGCCCGTTAACCATTCATGTTTAACGGCCAGATTTCTCTTTGGGTCCTCCTAACTCCTTGTGCTGTGGAAGTCTGCTTTGGAGATTTGGTTCTCCACGGTTGGGATGCTTGACAAGCTTACTGCTCAGGATCGGATGCTCAATGGCAGAATGAAGTCGGTAGATGTGAATGAACAGAGTGAGATTCGCAAGGAAGAAGGGTCTTAGCTTTAACAGTTCAGGTGTCGAGGACAGAAAATTGGCTGCGGCTGGGAAGAACGAACAGCAGCAGAACATCCAACCCGTTTCCTGCAGCAATCCACCGCCAGAGCGTCCGCCGCCCGTCCGGAAGCCCCTTCCCGCGGACGTCCTGAAGCAGGCAACGGCGGGACGGCAAAGGGTCGGTGATGCCAGCGGTGACGTCAGCGAGGGGGGACCGGACGACAGCGATGACGACATGGTGCTCGAGATCGTCGACGCGAAAAAGGTGCGTCGTTGTCGTGCTTTGGACGGATATCACACGGAACGTCGACGCCGTCAAAGATTTCGACGGTGTGAATTTTGGACGGAGCCCGATGAGAGTCTGAGAATGGGTAATTGGAAGGGCACGTGCACGTTCTGTGCCCACTTCAGTCGCACTGTAGCCAATGTTTGCGGGTTCATTACGCCTCTGCTGAATTACGCATGGCCGCGACGATCTGAGTATATGTTTAAGGAAGCTCCTTTCTATCCTGAGACGTTCGTGTGACTTTCTTGGGTGAAGAATCGCCGGCCGAGAATGTTGTTTCTTGTTTAAAAAGGGGTCCGCAAGAAAGCAACGAAGACACAGGGTAACTGGTTGCAGGAGAAGAACACATGATTTTCACGAGCTTGCTTTTGCCTGATCCGCAAACAATGCTTGCATCCGTGCAGCCTTTGAAAGTCGACACCGCGTCTCCTAAGAAACAAGAACTAGAGAAGGAAGAGACGCCGCACACGGACGCCGGCCAGCATACGGGCTACGACGGGGACCTTGAGGACGATGATGACGAGGCGCTGACGTTTGACTTCCGCAAGCGAGGCGCAGAAGTGCCGGGAGAGCCGTTCCGACCGCCGGTTGCCGACACACAGGTAAGATGCTTCAACTCTTTCCATTTTCTGACTTTCTGTGTCTGTCTCCTGTTCTACTCTTCGCTCTCAAATCTGGGCATTTGAGCCACTCGATACGTCGGTTATAACTCCCCTCGTTTGCGCATGCTACTCTGCTCGTCTCGGTCATTTTCTTGGGCACGCCTGATGGTCCGCTTTATGAAGGTAAGGTAACCTTTTCTTTGGTTGTTGTCAACCTTTGTCACCTTGTAAAGCGAAAGGTGTGCACTCAGCCAGGAATAAGCAAGAAGAGAGGGTTTGGCGGGCTCGAATTGGTGGATCCACGATCCTTGATCCTCCTAGCATTGCTGTTTAGTTCATCCGCCTGCATGTCGTCTTACCGGTTTAACAAGGTCGAGTCCTCCGCACAACTCTAACATTCAGGTGCAAGCCGGTTCAAGACGCCGTTAAACGTTAACCGTGTGGTCTAAGATCGAGCTACATAGCTGCAAGATACTCTTCTTCCTAACTCCATTCACGTCAAGCCAATCAAGGGATGCAATCGTGCCGTCTTATCAAAATTTCAATCGCACACTCCGACACTCCAGGATCTCTTTACCGAGCCCGAAGGCGTCGACGGCTTTGTGGAGGAGGACAAAGAGGAAGAAACGGAGGCCGCTGCCGAGAAGGCGGCCCGCCCAGTCTTCCCGATGTTCCAGCGAAAACCGGTAGGTTGCTCGCTTGAAGCTTCTATGCTTGCACTTGTCGATCAAGATTTAGTGCGAGGATATCAATTCTTGACTCAGCATGTCTGGCGCCAGTCAGCTTTCAAATTGATTTGCTTCAGCTTTTATATAAGGAGTCTTCTTGTGACACTTGAGCACACAATTCCATTGCAAGTCTTTTGGATACTTGACTTTATTGGCAGCCGCTAACCCGCGCATCGTTCCATTCGGAAAACCCGTTTGCAGATTAAGAAACCGGCGAGCCCGGAGCAGATCATTCGCTAATCTAAACGCAATTTTCCAGCGTGTAAAAAGCGTCTAACCCGGCGCTTGTAACCCCATTGCAGGTCGCCAAAGTGCCCAAGTTTAGCGAGCCCTTCCACATGCCCGTCGAAGACACCCAGGACCTTTTCAGCGAGCCGCAGTGCGACGACGAGAACGTCGAACCGCCCGCCGAAGCGCCGGGGGATCCCTTCCGGGGAACGCCCGAGGATGCGCAGGGGGAGGGGTCTGACGTGGAGGATGACGTCATGCCGTCGAGAATGAAGCTGACGATGGACAACAGCAAGTCGCAGCCGATTGAGGACCCGTGGGAGATGGAGGGGTGAGAAATTCTCACTTTTTGAATTTTTGGGATTTTGCAGATTTCTTTTCCGGAAGGAGCTTTTGGATGTGAAGGTCTGAAAGCAACGTCTTCCGAAATCCTTGAATGTAAATCTTGGGGGTTCTAGAGATCGGGGATCTTGGTTACTGAAAGATTGAGGCGTCAAAGGTTGAGGTTGAGGTCTCTTCGGTTTGGGTTATAAGATCATCGCGATGGCTTTACTTCGCACGCTCATCGTTGACCAGAGAGGCGGAAAGGACGGAAAGCGAAGGACGAAGCGGCCGCCCGCTTGCGATTATTTTCTCCAAGAAAAAGAAGTCCGTCATCCTTCATGACCTTCTTGAACCGAAGGTAGGCTTCCGGGTCGGAGGACGCTTCTGAAGACGACGACAGGAACGACAGATAAAAGAATATCACCCTTTCTGTTCTTCCAAAATGCAGACCGGCACTCCCGCCTGCTTCTTCAGCTGGCTCGTTGCCTCCCTGTATTGGCATGACGATTTCGCGGTAAGGCTATTTTATTCGTGATCCTATTGGCTAAACCTTTACCACCTGCCAACGTGGCATACCTTGCCCTTGACTTCGAAGACCAGAAGCCGTCGATTCATCTTCCGGTCAATCTGCACCGTTGACTGTGCCATTAAAGTACCCGCTGTTCTCAGTCGGGTCAAGCAAACCCAAATTAAACTCATTGCGTCTGCAGATGCCCGGGGACTTTCACTGATCATCCATCTATTTTGTATTCAAGTCCAGTCCCCCGTAGCCAGTCCTCGGTTCAAGAACCATCCGCATGTTTGAGCCCTGACCTAGACTATCCCCGAAAATGCCTCCCGGTTAGGGAGGCCATTTTCGTTTGACACCTTATTATCATCTCGAGTACGCCCGGTAATGACACATTTTATTCGTTTCCTGATTGGTCGAAATCCTTCACCATTGACTTCGTTGACCACAAAGTCACGTGCATTAAAGCGCACACCACCCTAGATCGAAGCTTCAAAAGATCGACACCGTCCAGCTTCCAATCCAACGGCATAGAAGTATACAAAACATATTGTAAACCAATTGTATCTGTCGAACTCGTGTCGGCCGGTGTCCCCTAACCCACAAAGGTTCACTCTGAAACCGCAGAAAGAAGTGTCACTTTGAGCAAAAACAAAGACTCCACTTCAGTTTGACACTCCGCCAAAAATCGGAGCTGGTTAGCGGGTGGTTAGCTAGGAGACCCGTCACCTTAACTTTGTAACTTGGCATGAAACCCGGGTAAGGTGGCCATTCTCTGTTCTTGAACGGTCAAAATTTCCGGGTCGGAGGATGGTTGTAAAGATACGCAAGGACTGAGCCGAACGAGAGGGGCAAGAAGGCCAAGACGGGGAAGAAAGAGATGAGCTCCCGGCGCGGGGTTGCCTTTCTCTAAAAAGAAGACGGTGATCCCGGAGTAAGGACAGTCTCTTTCTGAACCCCAATTGATGATTACACTCGACACTTCAGGTCGGAGGACGGTTCTAAAGAAGACGAGGAAAACGAGAGGGGGGAGAAGGACGACATCCTCGAGAGAGAGATGAGCCCCCTGCGCCCGCTTCCCTCTCCCAGAAAGTCTCCCAAGAAGAAGAGCGCGGTTTCAGACGCGGTTCGACGTTTCATGGACGATGAAGCCGAAGAGGAAGACAGCGACGGCAACCTGGGGAACCTTTCCGGTAAGCGCGGAGCACCTTCTGCGCCTCCCAATTTGTGACGCGTTAGGATTCTCTTTTGAAACACAGTCCGGCGGTTCGTAATGAGGCCGAAGAGGAGGACAGCGACGGCAACCTAGGGAACCTTTCCGGTAAGCGCGGAGCCCCTTCTTCGCCGCCAGATTTGGGAATCTTTAGGATTTCTAGAACGCGGTCCGCCGGTTGGTAATGAGGGCCGAGGAGAAAGACAGCGACGGCAACCTGGGGAACCTTTCCGGTAAGCGCGGATCGCCTCCTTTGCCGCCGGACAATCATAGCTTAAGAGTTCCTTTGTTGGACGCGGTTCGGTGGTTCGTAAAGAGGCCGAAGAGGAAAACAGCGACGGCAATCTGGGAAACCTTTCTGGTAAGCGTGAGCGTCTTCTCCGCCCTGATTGCAAACTTTTTAGATCCCTTTGTCCAAGCTTTTCTGCGGTTCCTGGACGATAAAATGTAAGAGCATGACAGCAACGGCAACCATCCGGAAATCGTGCCGCGCTTAGGTAAGGCCCGGTCTGCTGTGCGTTCGCGGGTGGCATTCGAAAAGTGGGTGCGTAGAAATGAGAAGGTGGGATAAGAGTTCGGTGAACCATAAGAGCTCTGACGTCACGAATCCGGGGCAACGCGCGTATTCAAAGATGACGGTAATGTGAAAACCTCGGAGGGCACCCCTCAGATCGCTACGTTGGCCCAAAAGTGTTGCGCTCGAGAGAATGTTTGATCATTCTAGTCTGCCATAGTCTGTCTGACAGCCTGCCTGGAGCCGTGTCAAAAAGCTCAACTTACGGAAAAACAAGCTGCGACTGAGACAATTTCTTTAGAGATTCTACAACCAAAACACAAAAGCAACGACTTCGTCAATATTACAGCTTTCTGCCCCAATTCTGCGCCAAAGTATCAAAGCCCATGCTCGGTGCTTGCAAAACCAACGGCGGTCTCACTCTGTGAAGTCATCCCCCGCAGATGATGACGAGGACCCCGCCGCGGCTGCTGACGAGATGGAGTACGTCATCGACACGCGCGCGGAGGCGGTCATCGACAACGGCGAGAAGGAGCGGCTGGCGCTGCATCGGCAATGGGCCGAGCAACAGGACATGAAAGGTGCGCGATTCGATGGGGCTCTGAAAAGTGCTTTCATCTTGCTTCAAAGTCTCTTATTTTGTCATCGCGGTCAAGCATGTGAAGGACCATACGACCTTCTCCGTTCCGTTCTTCAACCATTCATGACATTATTTCGGATCTAGGGGCTAGAAATGGCATGGGGATGGTAAGACAGCCGGGGTGGGTTTCTCGAATTGTTGAAGTGCTGACTGTGAGCTCCGGGTTAAAGATTGCAGCTCGTCACCGTAACCCCAGAACTCTTGACCCTGTAACCCGAGGGCCGTACACCCCAGAAACTAAGTCCGTAAAATGGGCGGAGCAGCTGATTCGGCACGTGGCGACGCTAACTCAATCTCTTGAGAGTCGTCGCATCGAAAATGACTCCCGGCGGCTGGGAAGCAGAACCCTGGTTCGCAGTTGCTCTCTGTATCCACCTCTATGTATGCCCACTTGGATATGGGAATGCTTAACCTTGACCACTTCAGCTTTTGGAAACAAGTACCCGAAGCCCCGCAGTGCAGAAAGTAAATGGGTTTTTCCGGATCGCATCAAGAAAGGGTAGCATGCACCGACATGTCGATTCTCAAGCTGTAAGGTCGGAAATGTCTGCAAGTTTCGACAGCGGAATCTAACAAGTTCCGATGATGGTCATCATGACCTTAACGCTTATGAATACGAAAGAGCTGTTGGTCCGGAAAGTGAAAAGTGGGTGGCAGATACTGAGTTTGATAGCATCCATCTCACAACTAGGTATGTTGACTGTCCAGCGACTCGGCCGTAAATTGAATCCCGACAAATTTTGATGACGTCCTTCCTAACGCGCGCAGATACGAAGGAGCTTTTGGACCGCATGAAGAACGGGTGGCAGCGGCCGGGCGCCGCGGCCGCGCTCATGGACTCGGACGACGAGGACGATCTGGACCTGCCGCCGGACATCCTGCGGCGGAGGCGGCTCGCCGCGCGCGCGGCCGCGAGGGCGCGCGACGAAGCGTTTGGTGAGCTGCACAATGCCAACTTCTTCCGTTTCTCTTTCTGAGCATATGGGATTCTCAGGACCCAGATAGGTCTTATCGTGTCTTTAGCTATCCAACGTGCAACGTACAGGTTTAAGGTGCTCATGGGATTCGAAGTGAACGTCGAACGTGCAAAAAGAGGAGGCGGCTTGCGGCATGGGCGGCCGCGAGGGCGCTCGACGAAGCTTTTCGTGGACCCTTTCGTTGTTTGCCACCAATTTCGTGTTTCGCAATTTTTTTGTGCTCTGCAGAACCCTCGTCTAAGACTCTTTGCAGTCCCTCCTCCTGCTTCGTGATTAGTTCGTTCTAGTTCCGAAACATTCTATTTTTAAACCACGTTTCTCTTTATGTCGTGTGTTCGACTAAACTAATCTGGAGCGCCCAACATTCTTGCCAACCGCTGCTGACTTTCTGAGGATCCCGAGGCCACTGGTAACAAATCGTACAATTTGATCTGAAGTATCCGGAAAAGTAAGTTAGAATCAGAGACCTGACTGATTTGTCCGGCAGACGATTACGATGCGGACGCAGCGGCCGCGTCCGACGAGGAAGAAGCCTCGGACGGTCCGGGGTCCGAAGACGAGGAGTTCCGGGAACAGGTGCTCCGGCGGAGGCGACTGCAGGAGTCGGTGAGCGGAACTGCTGTCTAAGTTCTAGCGAGACGAGACTGCCGACTTCTCGAAGGACCAGGATCCACGCAATAGGCAACGCTTTCGGTTAAAGTTTGCGTAGATGAAGCCTCGGAGAGGTGTTGCACCTGAGTATGATTGAACCAGACGTGTCCATTATTGTTTCCGCAAGTCAAAGTCATCACAAGCTTACTCGTCGCCAAGATCCCATACTACGTTGGAGATTGAAGCGCGTAGATAAGAGACTGATCACTCAAAAGCTTTGTCCATTTTCGAACCCAACGGGTAGACTCATGAGATCGATGACGCATTCCGAGGTTTTGTAGCATCTGTGGGTTTGAGTGTCTGGACTCTCTCCAGGTTCCAAGAGCTCTTCTTATTATTCCTGTCGCCCCCGCGGATTTTCAAAACACCAGCGCTGCCTCTCGGGAGTTCGTCTTCGTTCCAAAGGAGATCTTCGATACTGAAGCCGGTCGACTTCGACGACTGGGGGCGTCTCAAGGGTTCAACAGTTGATTCGATTGCCAGGCTCTCAGGATTCTTCTGGAAATTCTCGTCGCGGTACACGAATTCCAAGAGCTCTAGATTTCCTTTCTTCAAGAGCTGGACGATCAGCCTCGGACTGCGGTGAAAGTGAAGAAAAGAATCAATTTAAAATGGGACATCTCGTGTGAGCGGAGAGTCAGACTCGTGCCCCTTCAACGCAAGGACAACAGGTTTCAACGGAGTGTTCGATTCGTTCCACAAAGGTGGGTATTCCAGCGTATTGTCGAAATTCAAACTCCCTTCATTCACTCACAGGAGAGCTTGGATCCTGAACCAGTTGACTTCGAGGACGATGAGGCATCTCGAGAAGTCTTGGGGCTGCTGAAACGGCCGACCGTTCCGGTAGCAGGCCCCGTGACCGCCGAACCCCACAAAGGCAAAGGGCGCGGCAGCCTGCTGGGGCTCTTCAGCAAGAAGAACAAGGCCCTCAAGAGCAGCGTAAGTGGAAGCGCCTCAGTGAAAACGCTGTCTTTTTTGCTTGTGGCCGGAATTCAGACACAAAGAGTTGCTTGCTACGTTTAGTCCAAAAGCTATCCCTAGCGTCCGTGCTTCCGAGGCTCTGAAAGTCTTCCAGCACTCCATCCAACTTTCATCGTCAACGTCTTGATATCGCTCGGAGAAACCGACACACCTGTTTGCTTGTCTGCTAAAGCTTTGCTTTTTGCGACTTTCTGCTTCTGAGTCTAACCGAATATCAGCGCGCATATCACAGTGCAGGTTTCGTTCTGAGCATCAGCCCTGAACGTCAATCACTGGGCTGTTCCGATTGCCAACAACTGTTCTCCCCTTACTCGCAGTCTTCGTTCTTGAACCGCGCTTCAGTCTCGTCTCCGGACGGAACGGGCAACGTGAAAACCGCCAACGCCGGAAGCGGAACCGGGCGGTACTACATTTTTGGTCGGGACGACAGCAACAGCGGAATGGGGTTTGACCGGAAGGAGCGACCGGACGTAGAGGGCGAAATGGTGAGCGCGTTGACTGTTTGCTTGGTGCAATTCGTGGGCGAAAATATGTCGTCTTTTAGTATGACATGTCTGAGGACAGGATTGAAGCAGATTGAGATACACGGCTTGGGACACCCTGTTTGGACGTAGGTGTCTGATGTGAAGTTCCTGGTTGTCTTGTCCACACCGTCGGTCGGAGCAGGTCATTTCAGACCTTGATTGCCCACGATATTCTGCGGTCATGCGCACCCATTTAGGTAGTCATTGTCTCGACTTTCTTTTGGATTCGTCCAGACGATGCAGTCAAAAGATCAGTCTGTGGTGTTCAAGCTCGAGCAAATGTCACACAGACTGGAGATTGACCTTCTTCTCTTGCCACCTCCAAATTCCTTCCCGCCCTCTCCTGGGTTCTGCTTCCAGCTTCTAGTCCCCAGTGAATCGGTTCCTTAGCAGAAAGGAAACGGACGGCACGAGATTCAATCACTCCGTACTCAAGATTAATATAGCACCGTTTACTTGCAGGCTCCTGAGCCCGCGAGACCCTCTACTTCTCAAGCGCCCACAAACTTTGTTGGCATAGCCTCCCGGGTCGGCGCGGCTGGACCCAAACGGTCCGCACCGTTAGGAGCGATGGCCCCCTCCAAATTCTTCGGGTTGCTGTCAAAGAGTTCGAGGACAGATATGGATACCGACGATCTGCCCGCCGAGGTGCCGTCATTCTTGCGGGAGTTCAAAACGGTGAAGAAGTCGGCCTTTGTTCGATAGGCGATGACATCAGTGGGCTTGTAGTTCCGCGATCGGCGTATTTGCGGAGCTGCCGCCAGGATTGTGAGGAGCTTCGTCAAATAGTGCTACACTATGAACGGATTCTAAAAGTATCTCAATTCCAGTACTTTCTATTGCTGAGTCATACCTCCTGAGAAGTGGGTCCTTTCGTAATCCTCAACAACTTACTGAATGCATGCATTCTAAGCGTGATGAACGAAACCCTCTAGAGCTTCGCACTGCACAAGTGCCTACTCGACTCCTCAGCTGAGCCAGTCACTTCGATATGTTTGATGAGCAATGCAACTGTGTTGCACGTTGTTCATGGTTCAAGGATCATGTGATGCGTCAGTCCAGCAGTATTTGTCAGCAGAGATGCCGATTGAAAGATGAACATGACAATTTAAGCGCAGGCTTCTGACGGCAGCCGCTAAGCGGGCCGATTCTGCATGTAAATAGATATTCTGCTGGCCCTGGTACTGGCGGCCTCGTAACAGGAAAGATCCTAAGCAGGCTCGGTACATGGATTCTGTACATGAGCACAGGCTGTACATGCAATGATAAGGATACGCACAAGAATATCAAAAGTTTCGCGTGGATTCGTGCACCGTTGGACACTGAAATCGCACGGTTGAATCTTAGACTTGAACAAAGCCATATCGACTTGAACACTCCGTGGCTTTGTTTGAGTCGATCCTAAGCTCCCTTGCTGTGAGTATTACGGTCCAGATGGAACAGACTGCGTATTGTCGAGCGCAGGCCTGCATGTGCTCTTATGTTCTTCAAGCCTGTATGCTTGCAGAAAGCAGATAAGCAATTCTTGTTCCTCGCCCAATCCTGAGCACATCAAAAGAGCCTTACGATGCTTAACAGTTAGTCTAGCAGAAGTATACCTTGACAGCATTCCAACAAGGCGCAGCTCAAGACTTATGAGCTTGTCGAACCCACTCACCGTTATCCACACCGTCAGGTTACGAAAACTTACTACAAAAGCGCCTGTAAAGCCACATAGTCACTGCTGAACTTGAGAACTTCGACGAGGAAAGTGTCCCTCGGCAGCAGAATCCCCACAATCTCTTTGTGATGCTCGGAGCTAGGGATCAGAAGCCTGCAAAGGGGTTTTCCGTTATGATCCTTCTCTAGCACCAAGATTCTGGACACGGCTCCCTTCTCTTTGCGGTCGGCCAGCGCCGTTTCGGCCAACTCTGTGGCCACGCTTTGAATGGTGTCCCCAGCAGACACGTGGATGCTCCCATCAGCGATGAGATTGTAACCCGATCCCGCACTTCGTACTTGATCTCCTCCATTGCACAAAGCGTGACCCGGAGTTTGTTCAGGAAGAGATGTCCGTGTGATTCAGTGCTGCACTCTATACGGTAGGCTAGGTTTACAACAACGGTCAAAGTAAAGTAAAATCCGTCGGTCGGATTTAGCTCAAAATGCACCATCAGAAGTTCCTCCAACTTCCCGTTCAATCAGACTCATGACATTGTAATCCGAACTTGAACTCAAAAGTCGAGATTCGAGAAGTTTCTCAAGTTACATGGCCGTGCAAACGATCCAGGATGATCCCTCAGTAGCCAGTGTGCGGAGAGGATCAGGGGCAGTTACTGGATCCTAGCCGCCCATCCGAGGAAGATTTTGACGAAACGGCATCTGAGCCGTTCGATATGGTCATCGCCTCTTCGGTTCCGTGCCCAGTTGCGTCACTCGCGCCATATGCACTTCGGAATCTAGCGGCGGAGAGCTCAGGACGGGAGGCCTGGCAAATTTTCATGCAAATGCTTCACCAAGTCTCAGCTCTTGCAAGGTCAAATGTTCCTGGAACTTTCCAGCGGCGCTTGTCTTCCTTTCACATTGTTCCAGGTTAAGTCTCCTCCTCTCCCTTGCGCAGTCTGCAGCTCGTAAGCTCCAACACCATGGCCTCCACGCAAGGTGACGTGCTGGTGGCATTGCCGCAGGCGGCATGCGCGAGCACCCCAGTGAGCGCTGCCAAACAAGAGAAGGATCTCTTTCAGGCATTGGCCGGCGTCAAGCAGGAAGCGCCCAGCGCAACACTGACGCAGCGCAAGCATTGGACCCCAGCGACTGTCAATGAGATCTGCTCTGCAGGACCCCAGGACGTTGCAATGCGGGTGGATGCTGCCGCCTGGAAGGACGGGGTTCTCCTGCTCCATGACCTGGGAATGACGCCCCCCTGGGAGGCGATCCGCTCGCTGTTCGACTACCTGTCCTGCCATCCCGACGTGGCTGCAGAGCTCAACTCACTGTACCCAATGTGCAACATCCTCAAGGACGCCGCACTTGACGCGAGCCGGGCGGACGCTGACGTCATCGACCAGAAGGTGGCCTTTGACCTGAATGCGCAGCGCCTGGCGGCGCTGCTGCGTGCGCCTCACCTGGTCGAGAAGCTTGGGGCTCCTCTGCAGTCAGTCCTCTGCTTCTTCCAGGAAATTGAGCAGAAGGTCGTGCCAAAGCTGATGGAGGTTACGTCGCTCGTCTCGGGCCACGACTTGGCTGCCTGTCACAACCAGCGCAACTTCAATTTCAGAGTCGTCGACTATCCTGAGCACGTTCCCAAGGGGTCATCCAAGGAGCGCCGGTGCGGAGCGCACAGGGACTTTGGCACATTCACTATTGTCTTCCCGGACGGCGAGGGCCTGCAAGTGGAGCGCGAGGGGGGGTACTACAACCTGCCTGGAGACACCCCCCAGCTGTTCTTCGGCTACTGTGGTGCGATCCTGTCCAATGACAGGCTCGCTGCGGCAAAGCACAGAGTGATCGACACGTCCCCGCAGAAGAGTGGTCTGGTCGCCAGGCGCAACTCGCTCGTCTTCTTTGTGGCACCAGATGAGGACACGCCTCTGAGGCCTGTTGTGAAGGCAGGCGAGGTGGCCAGGTTCAGAAGCGGTGTGACATCGTCGGAGCTGAAGGAAGCGATGAAAAGGAAGTGGAAGGCGCGGGAAGGGACGCTTGGTCAGGCTGCTGGGGCGGAAGCGGGGTCGCAGGACGAAGTGATTGATCAGTTCATGCGCTTGCCGGAGGCGGTGTAAAAACTCCACAACATCAGGTATGTGCTTTCTCTGTGTTGGAAGCAGTGTCATTTCTTACAATCTCAGAGAGTTTGCAACATCTTGGAAGCAGTTCTAATCCGGAGTCAATGACAATGCTCGTCTTGCGTCCAAAACAGTCAACTGTAGTGGAGCCAGAGCCTTCAGTCTCCTAAGCATCAGCATCGCTTCAAACAAGAAAGCATATGTCAGTATGGCATTGAGGCCAGCAATAGATGATGGTTGTATTGTGTTCATTAATGTGAACCCCAGTTGAGCTTCACCCTTCTTTGTTTGCAGGAACCCCGTCAAGTCATCCTTTGTGTAACATAGTGTGTGAAAGTTAGAGACATCACTTGAGCAGTCAAGCAGACAACTCTTTCCAAGTGCTCTAGCATGCTTTGTGATTCAGACTAGGTCGTCAAGCTAGTATCCTAGGGCCAGTCTGTGTTTGCAGCTATTGGTTGTTAGGGAATTTTAATTTGACACTTTAGTGGGCCGCTGTATTGAGCTGATTGGCACTGCCAGGTGTATGGGCCTTGAACTTTGATACTTTCAGTAGTCTGGCGTACGCTCATCGGCTCAGATTAACTTGTCCTCTATGTACGTCCAAGCGTGGATACGTTAGGTGATTAAGAGCAAACCTTTTCCAGGACTCTAGGTTGTAGATCTTGACATCTTGTTAATACTGTATAATTGTGACAGTTCAGGCGTGTAGATGCACTTGGATCCAATCTCGAATGGTCACTGGTCGCACAGTTGCACATTGAATGACACAGATACCGTGTCCTGTTGAAGCTGTGGCGGCTGGCCCACGGGGCGTTAGCTGAGTTGACTAGTTCAAGAACCATAAACTATATCGATCATCTGCGTAAGTCCGAGGACTTCCCGTCCAATCGCGATGAACGCTCATGGTGAAACGGTTGTGCGGGACGGATGAACGGTGCATGAGTGTCACGCATGGCGGCAGGAGTGACAGCCATCCATGAGAGTCACTCAGGACCTGGTCCTGAGGAGCTTATTTGAGGATTGAGAGTTCAACTGCGGCGCTCAGCGCTTGTCGGCCAGGGCAGAAGTGACTCGGCCCGGGCGCCGGACTGGGGCTTGTATGCATGCATACTAACTGGAGAAACTAGTGGGCGGCAGCCGCCCAGCGCAGGCAGACAGGCTGCTCTCGCTAGGCAGTAACCGCGGCCTGGCCGCCGAGATAGCTAGCACCAGCCGCGTTGCACTGTCATGAGTCGAAATACACCATTCCGCGTGCACTTATGCGTTTATCATAAATACATGCGTGATCGCGACTGAAGATACATGTACGCGCCAGCTTAATTACACGGTAGCTGGTTTTCTAGCTCAAATCATCTCACGTGCGCACAGATTGTAGCGCACGTGTGCCTGGCGGCTGCATGGCCCATCCTTAAACTTCGTGCGGCTGTTGCCATGTATGCAATGGCACAGACGTTTCATTGGACCATGGTTTCATGCAATTATAATCAAACTTGGATCGAATCACTACTAAGCATACACCCTTAAAAGAAGGGTAGCAGCCATCGCTCCAGGCCGAGTGCCGCATGAGCGCAGTGACCGTCTATGTTACTGGTCGAACGTGTAAATTGGCAGATCACCATGTCTCAACAGGCACGGTTGTCAACAGATCGTAGACTTCGGACGAGAAACAAGAGAAAGAGATGCCGGAACGTTCGTGCTACGCTGTAATGAATGTCGACCACCTTGATTCGCACGCGTAATGTACAAAGGATCACCTAGAGCGATCCAGCTGATTTGAGGAAAACGCATCTATCTCGACTCCCTTGCTAGGAACACAGAAGTGCGCCAGATGCTTTTACGTCCTGGATCTCAGTGCTCCGCGGCAGATACACCTCTTTCCTAACTCACAAAATTACAATGATATCAAAGGACAGTGGACCCCTGATGAATCCGTTATGATCTGTATGTACAGTCGCTGGAGTCTCCTGACCTTTCAGGGGTTAACCTCTTCTTCAGACCACTCGCCCTCTTCGCCGAGCTTGTACAGCTTCCGTCGCTTCTCCTTCAGAGAGTAGTAGTCTACCTGAAAAGAACAAAATGCCGAGAACTTTTTAAGGACATGCCAACTGCTCAGCGGTCAAACAAAAGCACCCGGACTGACGCGAAGAATAATCGATGCTTTGCCGAAACCGTCCCATCAGGTATGTGTGAATGCGTATCCGACTTGTGTTGAGTTTGCCGTGAGCTCGACTTTTTTGAACCCCACAATCCAAAGGATACTGCAGGCGAGGCGCCAAGCCAATGCTTCACGATCAGAACCTTAAAGTGGACGTCTACCATTAGCCGTTGTATAAGAGGCACTCATCCAAAAAAGCGCTAACTAAACAGTGTAACCCCTTGTCAAATCACATGGTTGTTGCCACTCAAATCGAGTGAACGTTGGAAGGCAACAAATGGGCTGACGCCGTATCTTCCTGGCAAGGAAACCTAAGATTATCAGCGAAGGGAGACGATACACGAAGCATCGCACTGTGCGGCTCACGTCACTTAAAATGCTACTGTCAAGTGACGTGATGCGGTGTGATGCTCTCAGCTATGCCCAGCGTCAACGCTGCGCTCCATCCGGCGACCCAATGGCCCAGATTTCATTGCAAACGGTCGCCCACTCACCTCCTTCGGCTCCAGGGTCACCAGGCAGAAGGTCTCCACCGGCCCTTCTTCTTGATTCGGGGGATCCCCCTCGAACTCCTCTTTTGGCGCCCGTGGCCGGCCTGGGGGCGGGTCGACGAACTGCCGCAGCGATTTGGGGGAGGCCGCTTGCCAGGCCTTCAATCGAGCCTGCATGGAGAAACAGAAAGTACTTATAAAAGTTATGGCCTACTTAGATCCCCTCCCCCACCCACCCTTTGTGAAGTCTAGTTTCTCCTCTTCTGGTCTCGCTCGTCCAAGTCTGTTCGCAGCCTTCCAACGATTGACAGACCAAGATCCGAGCTGAAACCTCTGACACGGAGCCCCTTACATGCTCAGCGGCAAGGACGAAGCTTCGTCAGCTTAGGTACATTTCGTCAATATAGTCAAGTCTCGGGCACCTTAACCTCGCGCCTAAACTGTTGTTTAACGGAGTGTTCGACACGTCCAAAAAGGCCGCGAGTATAGGGTATCGTCAAGATCTTTGAACTTCGCACCAGATAAGATTGCAGAGTAGTCGTGCAACATTTTGGGTGAGCGGTTAGAGAGCCCAAAAGGCCATTCTACGACTTCTCTGAAGAGGATAACAGAGAATCATCGAGTCGGGTCATTGACTCGGGCAATATCGCATGGACATTTCCAATGACGGCGGTCAGCTTAGACCGGATTTATAAGGACAATCATCGGCTAAATAAGCTGGTTACGGCCTGATTTTAGTCAGATAAGCAGACTGGTAACCAGGCTCAGATCGAAGCTGGCTACATGACGGGGTTTCCTGGAAATACAGGGCCCGCTGTGCACACAACGACAGCAATTTTGGAGAAACGGACATTGAGACGCGCCCAATGGCGAACGTTTCCGAATACTGCTGTAAGGATGCAGAAATAGGCTGCAAGAAGATTAAAATCGAAGAGTGCCGAACATCCAGAGGCAGGACAACAAGCAAGGTTCCGTTCTATGCTAACCGAAGCCCTTCTTGTCACATCCGACGATTCTATTGACCAGAAGAAGCCGCACACCGATGTGCAAAGACCTTTTTTCAATGGTCAAACACCCGAGACGTTCGATGGTAAGTGACGGTCACGAAGGTCGACTAGAAGTCCCCGGAAAAACAAGAGCAACAAGAATATTCCACGACAGGGACGGAGACGAACGGCAGAGTCATTTGATTCGTGCAAGGAGTCACCTCATCGCTGCCATTGACCCCACGAACAACTATATTCCGACAAAATCTGCTTACCGTCCTTCCTAACGATTCAGTTGAAGGCTATTACGAGCGACACAAGGAACCAGAGATAATATCAAAGGAAAGAAGGAACGTCAACCCTTGTTTGCGGGGACTCTCCTCGTTTGGACCGGTGACTGGGACCGGTGTACCCTTTGAATCGCACATTTTAAGACAAGGATTTGTTCATACTCCTAGTAACGACCTAGCCAACGAAACACGGAAGGGGGTTCATCGACAGCGGTACAGAAGACCAATTGAGTCTCCTCTATTTGCGGGGACTCGTCATAGCCAAAGACCCCACGACTTACAAGAGTCAAGAAGAGGGGTTGCTCAAAATACTTCTACAATCCGCCCCAACGAGAAAAACGGAAGGATGATTACTATAGGCACCACAAAATAAAACCAAGGAGTAGTCACTGAAAGAAAGAAGAGGAGTCACCTCTTGCTTGCGGAAATCCTCCTCGTCACACCCAATGACCCCCACGAGCCCCAGCAGGCGGAACTGCTCCCACGTGTCCTCGAAGTACCAGCAAATCTCGCCCCACGGCTGGTGCGCCACGTCACCCATCTGCAGTGACGTCAGCGGAGAATGGGCTCGCGTCAGGAGTTTCTTGGATGACGCCAGAGGGTTCGCAACTTGTTGCCAGCGAACCTTTCAGCATATTTTTGATTATTGCCTATGGGGAATTGATGCAGACAAGGTACCGTTTACTTTTGAGGAATGTTAACAGGCTCTACATACTCTGCATTTAACCGGTCTTCTTAGAGAGTGACGTCAAAATTCGTGGTCCCACCAAACACGCCCGGCCAAGATTCAGTTCAGGCGATACTTGTTCAAAAGGGCATTGACACGATCGTTTTGGGCCATGAACAAGCAGAGGAGCTCCAACCTGTGCATGGCAGTGAACCAAAGTACTCCGCGCCTGCCCTCTTCTGAGGTCAGACGATCAGCAAAGTTCATTAACCGTACAATCTCGAGTTCGTGAATCAGCAAGTGCCAACCGTGGGGTTGTAGCAAGTCTCACACAAACTGCTCCACAGATCTCAATTTTGGAGATTGCACTGCCGTCTGGACACGCATCAAAGTTGGAGTACTTCAAATCCGGGGCTCAATCTCATCTGTCACAAAGCACAGAGACACAAAGATGTGGCTCAATACGACTACGCACCTTTTCGCTGCGAGAATCAGCAGTGAACTGCAGCTGATCTGTACCGTCCACAAAGCCCCTGCAAGCAAATGAATAGATCAATATTAGAACTATGTAACGTGATGCGCAGCTTGAGAATCTTTCTGCACCAAGCATGACACAGCTTAAATCATGCAAAATAAGGTAAAGACCAAGCTGTTTTCCGCGAAACATACTCATATTCCCCAAACATACAAGCTTGTAACACTCAGGGGGTTTAGAAGAGAGCTCGCCTCGTTCGTCCGTAAAGCTTTGAACACACGGGGCAACTCGAAAAAAGGTGGTTCGGAAAGCTGGAAGACCATGCCCCCGACCACAGAGCCACGAACTGGTCATCGTATCCTCAGTGAAGATACTCTCGTTGCTAAGTATCAGGATTGTCGGCCAGAGCTGTGAGAAGGCTGCACATGCCTACCTGGAAACCACAGTCCGATTTGCCGGCCGTCCGTCAGGCCTCACTGTCGCCTGTGGAACAAAAGATGGCTCTATCGAATCATTAAGTCCCCTTCACTTTGTTTGTTTTGGTGCCCAGTTTGATCGGCCTTTGTTCATGATGAGGATTGTAAGCGACGGAGTTTTAACGTGCTTGAAAAGTAAGCACGGGCTCCCCTTGCTGGCTTGGAGCCCAAGTCGCTGACTACTCAACACTCCCAAAGCCTAATCCTTTGCGATGGCCGTCAACAGGCAGAGCTCTTGACAGAAGGTAGCTTTAAGAGGTTGTGCGAGTTGACAAATCAAGAGAAAGGATGATACAGCGATCGATATGAAGTACCTTCTCTTTGTTCCACCTTTTTGAAGAGCCTTGATGGTGGAGCCACCAGATGAAAACAGACCGAGATAAGGGGACCTGATCACATAATACTGAAAGTGGTGAATATTTCAAAGGCCTTCAATTCCAGTCGATCACAGATAAAAGACAGAATTATCTGACGACAATCGCAGATAAAATCTCCAGTCTAGAAAAAGACGCAGATGAAGGTTCAGATCAGCTGAGAGAGAATGATTGGTGCAATGCTGCGATATGAAGAGTGGTGATGCTCGTGAAAGCGCTGCCAAGCATGGAAGTGTAAGAGATCTCAATGCTATCACAGACCCGCCCAAAAAACCTTTCATGCATGGATAATAGAGGAACATATAACAGTTGTTCTGCACACAGCAGCACCACTCGACAGGATGGGACAGTAGTAAAAACAGAAAGAGGAGGGCACACCAGTCAGCAAGACCGTACACAAAGAGCAACAGCCGAAAGTCTCTCACCAGTTGCACATATTTTGAGTACTTGAGCTCCTTGTTCTTCTCAATGGACTGCTCAATGGCGTCCCGCCAGGGCGGATTCTTGGAAGCTTCCGTCATGCTTGCACGCGTGAGCGAAGAAGGAAGCAGACTTTTAGAGAACGTCTGTATGCGTTGGAAGGCTGCTTGCATGGTCTAGCTGAGGGTGCTGGAGCGGTGATCACCAGTTGAACAAGGAAGCAAAAGTGCAGCAATTGGGGAATGCTAGGTAGCGTGACGGACCAAACCCTGAAATGCCAAATCTAAACCCTAAACTTACCCTAAACCCAAACCCTAACCCCCAAGCTAGTATAGCGATTCCTAGGCCCGGTCCGATCGAGTCTCGCTCTAGTTTCTCTGCACTCAGGCGCCGGGGTAGTAAGGTACTGATTGGATTTCAAACCGTCAATCGGACGGCCAGAAACACAAGGGTCGTATCTTTTGAATCCATCTGAACTGTCCATCCTGACGACTTGAATGACGCACGGTACAGATTCGCCAGTGTACGGCAGCTCGGAGGACGGCACGAGTGAGATCGGACCCTAAGATTTTTCGGGGCCGGTAGATTTTCCGGGCACGGCTCGGGGAGCCTTGAAAACATCGAACGGTCACCTGATTGGTCGGCCCAGATCTCGAGGAAGCTCGTGTACAGGTGGCAATGTGTCGGTTGGTCAGGGCATCTTGGAACCAGCCCGGGTTAGGCTAGAAACCTTTTGAGTAGGTACCGTATTATCAGTCAACCGGATTATCAAGTTGAGGTGGCCTGGAAACCAGGAGAGACACAAAGGTACCGCGTACGGTGTACCAGCGTTTAGTTTCGTCGTTTGGGTGCCAAACTATAAATTTCTGATCGATCAGAAAATTCGCCACAGGATATTTTCCCGACAATTCGTAAAAGTAGAATTAGTGAGTCCTCGGCTGAAATTATGGTAGCCATAATACCGGCCAACCTTTACCGCGTAAAAATGTTTTTCGACCTTTCGTCATCGAAGAAAATATTCTCAAAACATCTCGGCAGCCCAAATAATCATTTGATTAAAAACGAAATTATGTGGTGCGGTATACCAATATCGAACCCTAACCAAGGGCGTTAACCAAGCTGCAATGAGCGGGAGTTAAGAAAGAGGTTACAACTACGTCCGGGGTTCGCGACCAAGAATTCGATTCCCTCAGGCTTGGATTCCTCAGAGTCACGTACAGGGAAAGGTTCTGGAAGAGCGCCCCTCTCCGCCCTACACCTGGAGCCTTGCTAGAAAGAGAACATGGTTGCACGCTAGCCTCTAGCGCCAAGCCATCTCTATTCGTCCCCCTGGAAAAGGAAGACGTCCCTGCATTGGAATTTGGAGTAGGTAGAGTGAAGGGCGTTGCTGTATGAGTCTTCACTGTCAACTTGGCTTGTATGCATGCTTGTTGGCGGGAAGAGGCGGATGAGTGATAGGGAACAGCGTCAGCAGGCCACGGTAACGGAAGCAGCTCATGCATTGATTCCATCTCTCTATCTGACATAGGTGATTTAAGGAGAGGAAAGATGAAGGCAGAGCAGACGGGGAGCAGAATGGGCCTGCAGGGCCTGTTTGCGCACAGGCGCCCTGTTTTTGGTCCCTCCAGGGGGGGGCTGGATGAGCTAGCTGCCTTCGAAGCAGGCACTGAGACGGCAGTTGCGCTCCTCAAGGATATGGTGCGTGACCCTAGCTCCACCTTGAAAGACATGAGCAAGCATTGGAAGACGGCGCAGGTGCATGCCAAGAAGAACTTCAAGGAGATTCGACAGAAAGCGGGGGACTCGGTGGCGATGCCCGATCTGCAAGGAGCGCGACCGCTGGCTGAGGATTGGCCGACCACTCTGCAATTGCCGTGGAAGCACACGAGGGAGCTGCCCTATGTGCAGGAGCTAGAGAAGAACTTGGAGGCGGTGAACAGGAACCTGAGAGAGTTTGGGCAGATGGCGGGAGCAAGAGTGGAGCAGGACGGGGTGTTGTCGCTGCCGAACTTGAGCTTTGGCCTGAAGAAAGCGCCAACGGTGAGAATCCCAGGAAGGGGTTTTGGAAAAAAGAGGGTTGCGCTGGGGCCGCGCCACCCGTGGGGGCTAGATCTGGTGGATGCAGACCAGCCTCTGTTTAGAAAGCTCAAAGAGAAGAGCCGTGCGCTGTCGTCCAACAATCTACAAGGTGCATTGGAGGAGTTTATCAGCAAGATTGAGAGCCCCAAGACGAGCATGCGGCGCTCGCGCTCAGAGTCGGAGCTGCGGGAAAAGAGAAAAGGGTGGCGGGATCTAGGGTTGAGGGACGAAGTGAGGCCGTTGGAGGAGTGGGACCTGTTCAAGAAGGTGAAGAAGAAGCTCAACGAGTTTGAGCTGAGTGCGGCGCAGAGCATCCAAGAGATCCAAGACGAGTCGCGAGCAATGACCAATGAGTGCTTGGAGGATTTGAAGAAGAATGTGCAGAGCCTGGTGAGGAATCCGCTGCAGATTGAAAATTTGCCAATTGCACCAGCAACGTTCGATTGGACTTGGATTGAAGCTGTGCGGATTTGAGGTGTGCTCCTTGATCTATGATGCTCGTTTGGGAGAGTGGTAGACCTACAAAGGTGGTGGCACTTCTGCCTACAGGTTGTGATTCCAATGCATGAAAGCTTAGATGCTAGTCTTACACATCATTTTGAGAGCGTGACTCCTTTTGCCCTCACATTATGAATGTTGGAAGAGGATTCAGAAACTCAATGACAACCAAAGCCTGTCGGAAGTCAACTTGCATGAGTGAAGCGGAGCATGCAGCTCGCATGCAGGAACCACCGCACTAGGACCTGGCCAATTGGCACTGGTTGAGATGATGCAGTATGAGTTGTATGGGGGGACATTTGTCAGTTTTAGGACCTTGTGAAAGGTTTAAGGTCTTGCTTCAATGTCTGTTCTATTAGTGCTGCTCTTCTGAGAGTGGCGTGGTTTCGATTTGTTGGTGTCGACTTTGTGTCCGCTGTACGACAAGTCAACTTGGTTTAAAATGAGCAACAGGTTTGCGCAGCATGCACCACCTAGGCTTCATCCAATATATGCAGCTTCCAACGGGGGACTCTAGCAATCTCTTATACGTCTTGCACGTTCTCCAGCCCCTTCCCCTCTTTCTGTTTCTTTTTCATAGTTTGAGTTTGAGCAAGCCTGCTCTGCCTGGGCAAGAATTCTGAGCACCTAGTGTTGGCTATTTCGACTCGCACAGGTTTTTATGATGAATTCGAGATTGCCTCATAGGTGATGGAGCAAAGTACCTGCCAGAAGATTGGTTGGTAAACATGAATTAGCTGTTGGCTTATGGGACATCTCTGTTTGAGTCTTGGGGCAGCAATATGGCCCAATGGGACGGATTGGTCTGCTCATGGGGCAACATTCTGTAGCCCCGCATGAAGTATCGAGCAAGAAACCCTTCTCTGGGAGGCACGGACCCCTGTGTTCGGTTAAGCTTACAGTTACTTGCTTTCTTTCAGGCGGTTGCGCCCCCTCTGCGCAAGAAGAGAAAGGCGGCCAAGGGAGCCAAGCGTGAGGTAAGTTAGATCATCTGGTCTGATTCAAACGTCCGAGTCCTTGAAAGATTTCAGGCGAGCAGCTTCAACAAAGTCCAGTTCTTGACTGTTTTCTGGTTAATCTCGCACGTTGCATCCTTTTCCTGTGTTTGCATTGCACTTACTCCCTTGGGGTTCTCAATTCTCATGCATTACCTTGGGAGGCACCTAATCAAAGCATGCAGGACAGATAAGAACTGTGCCTATTGCAATTTGCAGAAGGAAGGTCCTCGGGGGTTGGACGTGCCCGCTCTAGAGGCGTCAGAGGTGCTTGAGAACCTTGTGCGGGAAGCGGAGCCCATCTTGGAGCAACTAGGCGTGAGCGATGCTAAGGGTAAGCCAACACTATGCTGTAAATCAACCAAATGCAACAATCCGGGACAGCCCTGAAATGAAGCGAGGAAACCGACTCGTACATGGTGATTGCAGCCATGCAGTGCCTCTTGGCGGCCATTCTCATTCTTTCAGCGCTGCTGTAAAATGGATCGATAAACTGCTTTAGATTTGTCAGTCCGGTCTTTCAAAGTACACAAGAAGCTTGCTCTCAGATTACGCACATGGTCTTGCAACATCCTGCAATAACCTAATCGATTTTACGATCTACTGACACCTTTTGTATTCCCCTTTCAGGCAAAACGGACAAGGTCTGCGGCATGCTCCGCCAATGGCGCAAGAAGCCCCGAGTCCTCAGCCCCACTTCCGCACAACTCTCCAGCAACCCCGTGGAAACCGAAACCCTTGATCAGCGCCTTGCGTCAGTTGCTGAAAGCACCGGGTACCAATGGAAGGGGGGCATGTGGGAGGAGCGGCGGGGGTCGGGCTCGCGGACGTCGACGTCGGTCTCGATGAAGGACGTGGACAAGATTGCGGTGGTGACAACTGCGGCGCTGCCTTGGATGACCGGGACGAGCATAAACCCGCTACTGCGCGCGGCATTCCTAGCGAAGGCCAACAAGCAGGTGGGTCTGTTGAAGATTGCTGTTTTGTTAACCTAGCAAACTTGACTGAATCTCCTGGAGTGGGTGCAGACCTGTGGGGAGACAGCAAGCTTTTGTCTGATGCACTGTTTCTGGCCAAGGCTCAAATGCAGAACGTTTCTGGTTTCACCAAGTTTTGCTGCGCCTCCGTCCCGAACTGCGACATAGTTTGGTATGGCCGTAGGGTTGCTTGAGTTAGGAGAGAGTTGAAGCGCTTCTTTCATGGCTGTCTAGCTGCGTACAGCCTTCTTGAATGGTTTCCTTCACAAACTTTTCGATTGGCCTGTCCCCGTGTCTTGAATGGGTCCACTTGCTGATGTCACCCTTTTGTCAGCGCAATTTGATTGGCCGTGTTTGCCCCTTTCGTTTCATGACGACACTGGCAACAGCAAATTTTTCAAACTCAGGCAGAAATTTTGTTGCTGCCAGGATTTCTGCCTGAGTTACGCCGAGTCATCACCCACACACTGGCCCTGTCTTGGCACTTTGCTGACATTCTATTCGTTTTGCTCTGCAACGTTCCAACAGTGCGTCATACAAATTGTTGCTGACGTCATGTTTCCCACCCGTTTGCAGGTGACGTTGGTCGTCCCGTGGCTTTCGGAGAGCGACCAGGAGCTGCTGTACCCCAACAAGCTCAAGTTCGAGACGCCCGCGCAGCAGGAGAGCTACGTGCGCAACTGGCTCGAGCAGCGCGTTGGCTTCAAGTCCGACTTCAAAATCCGGTTCTACCCGGGCAAGGTCAGTTGCCTCGCTGGTTCATCTTTCTTGTTCCCTTTGCTTTCTGTTTCGTCGTTATTGTCTGGGGTCATGAGGGTCTTGGGTCTGTGAAAATCAGCTGATTGCAGCTGTGTCCCTTGCTTCAATCCAACCTGGAATCCAATCTCATTTGGCAAAGTCGCCTGGCTCATCTCTGTGCCCTTTCACTTTCTGCTCGTTTTCTGTTCTGTCAGTGCCTTTCCGTTCTGCAGAGTCAAAAAATCTTTTACTTCTAGTCTGAATATTGGGCTGTCGTTGTGGCACTTGCTTCAAGGCCGACTGAACGGCCGTACCTCCATCAAAAGTGCGGCCACCTTTTGGATCCCGACTTTGTCGTCTTGTATTTTTTAACCACCTACTCGGCGGGACCCATTCTCGCATAATCCAATTGTTTCGTTGTATCTATCTGATTTTGGGCTCGTCCTCGACAAGGTTGTGTCTGAAGTCGAGTTTCTGGCACAGTAGTGCATGCTTTTGGGAGGCAGAGACAAGCAACAGCTTACACTCGTGTTTCGTTATCTTGCCGTCCGGTTCAGCCTGGCTCTATCTCGCCATACCTAGGTTACGAAGTTCAGATCGTATCAGACGGAATGCCTAAGGACCTTCTCTGAGGGTGAAGTTTGAGAACACCTCCCCGTGTTTGTTGCCCGCATTAGTGCTTTGAGACCCACATGTCCCCCCAAAACCCATTGCAAGAGGCACTCACTCGTTCCCCCCCACCCTCCTTTGCAGTACTCCACTGAGAAGCGCAGCATCCTGGCGGTCGGTGACATTACGCACTTCATCCCTGACGGGGAGAGCCAGGTGGCGGTCCTGGAGGAGCCTGAGCACCTCACGTGGTACCACCACGGGAACAGCTGGACCGACAAATTCGACCACGTGGTAAGGGTCATTGGTGTGTTGCTTTGACATCATTAGCTTCTCCTCAACAAACGAATGAGGTGGCGTATCATATGGGCAGGTTTGTCAGGCCGTCTGTCATCTCTCCGAGACACCCCACTTTGTGATTTGCAGTCTCCCACAGCTTCCTGCGCTGCTAATTGTGACCTTTCTGGAGAAGAACCGATTTGGGCCATTCCCTGCATCTGAATGCAGGCGAGAGGACGGAGAAGTGCAAGAGGAAATCAGTAGTTGTGTTACTTGAAACCGTTTCCTTGTGCAAAGGCCTCAGGCAGTCTGTAAAGCGAGGAAGCAAGGGAAAAGAGAATCCCTCCGTTTCTTCTTTCAATCGATTGTTTGTGCACCAACTTTTGAAATACATCAAGGGTACCGACTTCTTGTTTAAGATTGAGAACTTTTCGACCAAGTCACATATCGAGTTTACGGAAGTGGACGAGCAATCGAACACTTTCTTATTCGTCGTTTCCTGTTTCCAGGTGGGCATCGTTCACACCAACTACCTCGAGTACGTCAAGCGCGAGGAGAACGGCGAGATGCTCGCCTTCTGCCTGCGCCACATGAACAACTTGCTCGCACGGTCCTACTGCAACCGCGTGATCCGCCTCTCGGGCGCGACGCAGGATTTCCCCAAGAGCACGATTTGCAACGTGCACGGCGTCAGCCCCAAGTTCCTCGAGATCGGCGACCGCGTCTCGCAGGCAAAGCGCGCGGGCGAGCCGACGTTCTCGCGGGGGGCGTACTTTTTGGGCAAGATGGTCTGGGGGAAGGGCTACAGGTAAGAGGGGATAGAATTATGTTGGGTGCCCACGTCGGCGCCGTCAAGGTTTCTTCCTTCCAAGGAAGAAAGTGACTATAGTTTGTGACAATTGAACCTTGACCAAGTCATTCGGTTTGGGAAGAAGCTGTTAGAGCCATTTGTTTTGCGCACAGGCCGACACCTGGTCTAAGACAGACAATAAAGGTTGGACTGCTGTTTCTGAACATCACTTGCAGTAAGTGATGGTTGGAAGACGGACGTGTTGACCTTATACGAGCATGATAGAATTGGACTTGAAAAGTCAAAGTTGCTGGCAATTTCTCCCCAGACGTTAATTGCAATGCCAACAATCAACTCCTCCCTTGCCGGCATCATACCTCCCCTTCTTTACAGAGATCTAGTCGACGTGCTGGGAAAGCACAACGACGAATTGGGCCTGTAACTGGATGTCTACGATAGTGGGAACGATCCGACGCTTTTCTCCTGCTGAGATCATTCTACTGACATCATCCTCACTTTGCTGACGTTACGGGATTCTTTTCTTCCAGGGAGCTGGTCGACCTGCTGGGAAAACACAACGACGAGTTGGGCCTGAAACTGGACGTGTATGGGAACGGCGACGATCAGGATGCGGTCCACTCTGAAGCCAAGGCCCGTAATCTGCCGGTGACGTTCTACAAGGGACGGGACCACGGAGACAAGGCGCTGCAATACTACAAGGTGGGCAGTTCAATCTGTTCTTTTCAGGAAAAAGCGATACTCTTGAAAAGGCTGGTACACAACAGTACGCACATAGTCGGAAACAGTTGGTCAGTGACTCTCTCTCTGGGACAGTGCTTTCCCATTTTCATTGCACTTTTTTAGGAGAAAGGTATGTACTTCACAATGAGATGTTTTGCTGAAGTTCCTGTGTCAAATGTCGTCGCTCGACTTGGGGTTTCAATTTTAATGAAGCAGGTCGGATGCGGTTCTCAGCTTCACGCAAAACGCATTACACGCAGATACGGCCGCCGCAGCTCGTCATTCCGGCGGCTCTCCAGGAAGTGAACAGGGGAAGGTGGAGCAGTGAAGTCGTTGAATACTCTGTCTGCAAAAAGGTCAAGCTCCAGGAACGATGCGTTGCTCGTAGTCAAGATCTCAAATATGAATTCTTCTGCTGTGCGCAGGTGTTCATCAACCCGAGTATGTCGGACGTGGTGGCCACGACGACTGCGGAGGCGCTCGCGATGGGCAAGATCGTGGTGTGCGCGGAGCACCCGAGCAACGACTTCTTCGCGCGCAACTTTGCCAACTGCTGGACATACCGTACCGAGGAGGAGTTCGTGCAGGTGAGTTGTTGTTCTACTGCTCTTTGCGTCAAATCTGCCATTGGGTCAAAGGTTCCGAGCATGGTTCCTGCTTTTTAGATTGTCTGATCATTGACAAGGAAGGCATCAACGGCTCAAGACCTAGAATCATGCTTGGAGAGACTGGGACCCGATGGCAAGTTTGGCAAACAGCTGTGGTATCCAAGAAGAGTTGTGGAACTGGGGTTAGGAAATGCTTCCAGCTCAAATGTTGCTGTTGACCTTTATTCTGGTGTGGAGGGTACTGTAATGGTACTGCTGATCGGGCCCTTGAGCTTCTGCACCGGGATGTCGTCTTTGTCTTCAACGTCGAACAAATGTGTTGTTAGAGGTTTCGTTTTACTTTGCATTCACGCCCCAACCTCGTAAAGGCATTTGCAGACGACGGCCAGTTGCCAACGGATTCTCACGGGTCCTCTCTACGATGTCAAGTCCGAGCAGATACAGCCAGCCTTGATGGCTCACGTTTGCTGTTCGGGGGTGACTCGGGTTTTCCTATCCCGCTTGCGTTTGCACTTCGGGGGTGCCTATCTTCACTTTCGATCTCCCCCTCCTTGCAGAAAGTCAAGGCCGCAATAGCGAGCGAGCCCGCCCGACTGACTTTTGTTTTCCCTGCTTACTGTTGCGTTTCGGGGTTGCTTATCACACTCCGTTTCCCCCGCTCTTGTACAAATTCAAGGCCGCAATGTCGAGCGAGCCCACCGTTTATCCTTCTCACGGCTCGTTTTGGGGGGTGCTTTTTCCAACTCTATTTTCCCCCCTCCCTGCAGAAAGTCAAGGCGGCAATGGCGAGCGAGCCCGCCCCAATGACCCCCGATCAGCGCCACCTGCTCTCCTGGGAAGCCGCGACCGAGCGTTTCCTCGAAGCCGCGGAACCGGTTCTCGACCCGGCCGCGTCCGCCGGGCGCCGAATGGCCCGTCTCCCGGGCACTCTGAGCCTCTCCGGTTTGGGCGGGAGCAACGTCACGTGGGAAAGTATCCAGGATAAGGCCCTCGCGTGGTTGTTGTCGGCGGGGAATGGGCTCGAAGTGCTGCGGAGGGCCGGCGGGGGGATCCCGGATACGATGCACTGTACGCCGGAGCTGTACCGGGAGCTTGGGGTGGATCCGGTGCAGTTGCAGCGGCCGGTGTTTGGGCTGTAGAGGAAGACCGGGGGAAAAGAGGGACTTAGGAAGTACGAAGAGGTGACGAAAAGGAAGGAACTGTGGGGTATCGAAAGGGTGGGGAGGAAGGAGGGGAGCGGAGAAGAGGGAATTTGAGGAGTTCCCTGGTGCGAAGAAGATTGCATCGCAACTTGGGGGGTTGGGGGGCAGGGAGAAGGTCGTCCGCCAGCTGCGGCAGAGGGCGGAAGGATTTTCACAAGATGATTTGCCAGAATTGCCGGGGCAACTGCAAGGAGGGTTGTAACCGCGGGGGGTGGAGGGCTGTATGGAGACCACAATTACACGCCAACATTGATATAAGAATGTGTGATACGGCCAGAGCGCAGCGTGCGAATGGAGTATGGGTCTAGTGAACAATCGATGCGGTGTTCAGGGCGTAAATTTGTTACGGCGTTTTGAATAAAGAGGATTGGGTGACGAATAGTGAATGCCAAGGCTGCCCATGGGAGCGCTGAAGCCGAGTCAGGAAACAAAGTAGGTCGACGCGTAAAGCCAAGGTCCTCGTGTGTTTGTGTGTGTGTACAGCTGGCGTACAGTCTGTACAGCGAGAACATAGTGTACGCCCAAAGGGGCTTTCGTGTTGATTTTTGTAAGCAACCAGATGGTACGCGTCCAAAGCAGCAGGTCGACTTTGTGAGTCCTAGTTTCAAGCAATAAGGCAGCAATAAAACGCGACTTTGACTGTGCTTCAAGTACTGTTTTAGATTGTGCGGTAAACAGAACGATTTTGTGTGTTTTCATCGATCCTTGCAAAGAGACTAAGTAAAACCTGCGAATCTTCTCTAGTGGTATGTGATACTGAAAGAATGCATACAGCAGATTCGATCACCATTCCTCGCATTTCCTCGCATGCAGTATTCGACTCTTGGAGCAGTTTCATGCATTGCTGCTGATAGTGGCCCTTACGTACAATTGCCGGCATCATATTGCAACGATTATTGGATCTTTCCGCATGACTTGCTATCATGATCGCCTCGTATACTAATACAAATGCTGGCCTGGCCCTATCATTATCTGAAGGTTGCGCGTACTTTAGCACTGGACTTATGTGCAGCTCGCCTAGCTTGGCTAACAGGAGACTAGCCTAACTCCTTCAATCAAATGTGCCCATGGGGGCCTTTGTCGCGCGCATGTTTCTAGCTTAGACATCTTCAATGATCAAGTTATAGCCGCGAGATTTGGATCGACGTTACATGGAACCACGCTCAACTGGGCAAGGTGGCCGCATCGGTGATTGCTTTTAACCCGTCTTCGAGATAGGCGCACTGAAGACCCTCGCTCACTATGAACGTGTGCCATACCTCGGTTTACAGCAAGTGTTGCTGTGCATGATCGGCCCCGGACAGGCCACGCGATTCGGTTCAATTGACAACATCGTTCAATTGCAAACATCAAAGGCAAATTGCTTCTTTCCTCGATGTTATCCTCCTTCGTTCAGCTCACGACCTCTTCGAGATACAGCGGCACCTGAGACCCATCCTGTCGCTCATCTGGCTTGCACCCTTCTCTACTCTGGTCCCAAATCACAACGTCGTTAAGGTCCTCTAGCGGGTTAACGCCCCCGAAGACCAACAGCAGCGTTTCAGGATCCGCTTGGTGTTCCTCCTGGGACCGATTCCCGGGCCTTGGAATGCAGACTGCGGTGTGGGCAAAACGCGGGGCCGGGGTGGCGGACCCGGTTCTAGAAGCGGACGCGGCGGCAGAAGCGGCGTCGCAAATGACTGAAGCTTCTAGCTTTTCTGCAAACGAACGAGAATGCGCCCATCAGAAAACTATTAGGACTTTGGTCAGAATGCGGCCGGGTATGCTTGGCGCTTGAGCAGATCGACTCTGGCACACTTTTCTAGGAAGGGATCAAAGAAGGGTTCGATAGCAAGGAGACAGAGGAAAGCAATGGTTATACTAGCAATAAACGGAAATTGTGCCAACGCGAGAAAGGGCGGCTTTGCGAAGTGTTGCAGACGCACGCGAAGCTGGGGCAGGATGGCTGATGGTGTCGACAAACCGTGCAGGTCACAAAAACCAACATTGCGCTGAGGTCTTTACAGTTCTGCACGGCCTTTGTTTGGAAGGCATGTTGGAACAGATGCCGTGAGGATGACGACAGGTTGGACTGTCGTCGAACCACAGTCAAACCTTAAATTACATAACGTAATGTGTACGACACCAGAGCTAGCATGGATGGGAAAATGCTCAATACCAATCGTCTGTTGGACACAGTTTCTGTCCTGGAGTACAAGAAAAAGCGTCTCGTGACCGCGCCTGCGACGAAACGGACTAGGAAGAGAAACTATAAAGCGGGGAAAGCACCCCAATGAAAAGCTAAGCATTTGTTTGCTTTTCTTGTCCTGACTCACACACTGTTTTTTGCTTGGTTATGTTATAAGAAAGTAACTTCGCGGTAAGTTCTCGCAGAATCCTCCCCTGCTCATACCTCTTGCATCCCCGCTTCGCACAATCCAGTGACGAGAGGCTCTCAACATCGTTTTATACCTTCGATCTCAAAAGAGAAGAAAGTACATCTATAAGCACCACTTCTCATGCTGCCATTTTTTTGGTGAGGTCCTCAACCGAAAAGCGTGCGCAATGGTAAAGAAAATCAGGCCAAGTCCATAAGATCTGGTCACCTGGATCGAAGCTAAAGAGTAGACCGTCCACGTCCTCCCCCGTGAACCCCCCGTACAGTTTCCATCCGCCCGCCGCTGACGTCAGCGTATGCGCGCACCTCGGAAACGCGCTCGCGGGCAGTTCACACGGCTCCCAGTGCCACGTGTTAACATCCAACAGGGCGCCGTCCGACAGGACACGGCCGTCCGAGCCGCGGCCCCCGCTTATGAGAACTTTGTGGCGGCTTATGAGGGTTGCGGAGTGCATCTCGCGGGGGCAGGGGGGGCGGCCGGAGGTGGTGGGCTGCTGCCACGTGGCAGTATCTGTGATTAGAGGAGGGGGAGTAAGTTGGTTTGATGATGTGAGCTGGGACAAGTACGGGCGTACACGGTGTGAGCGAAATTCGCAAGTGACAATAACGTCAACTCTTTGTTCACGGCAGTCACTAGGGTAAAGCCAGTGGAAGATTTCGAGAGGCGAGTGGCTTGACCAAACTGTCGTACTTGACCACTGTTCTGCACTTTCCGCAGTGGGTGTGAAAGCAATCAGAAGAAAAGAAAAGACACTGCTTTTGTCTAGCAGAGAAGACTGTACTGTCCTGGTCAAAGTCTTCGAAGAAAAGAAAGCTCAGAATTGAGGTTTTGCAGGATCGAATGACAGGACACAACCTCTACGAGACGCACTGAACGGAAAGCATTCCTACGGGTTGACAATGTGCAAGGCTGGGTCTCCGACATGCTCGTAGAAGCGAAGCTGGTATACGAAGTGAAGACTTACCGGGGTCGAAGACGTGCAGCTGATTCGAACAGCGCTCTTCTCTGCACGGAAAGAGGAAGATTTTTCGGTGAAAGGTGCAAAATTTGTGCCGCACTCTTGTTGGCGACCAAACAAGCGTGACACGGTCGCCGAGCAACTGTCGCTCAGCAAGCAAAGACGCACTTCGAGCCTGACTTGTGACGACACATCAAAAGAGATGTCTGAAGAGAGAAAGCATTCTAAGGACGTTGACGCGTTTAAGGACACAGCAACCAAGCGGTCGGCTGTTCTCGAGAGGCCGGGCCATCAGGTTCCACGATCGAAAAGAACTGCGCCAGCTTCCTATCACCGGCCCACATGCACAGGTATGCTTCCTCTGCTAACCGCGTACCAAGTGAGCACAATCGGAACCACGAAATCAAGTGGTGAGCTCTCTTGGTCCAAAGGACGGCATATGGATATACACGCTTTCCATCGACCAGGAACTCAGATACGGAAGACTCTTGCGAACTGGTCGGAGCCTCTCGAGCTGCAAGCAAGAAGCTCTGGCGAGCCAAGAAACCGGCTCACAGAAGAGCTGAGGACTTTAGCCAGCAGGTTCACGATGTTCCGAAGCTTGAGGGTCGCTTGTTAGAAAGTCCTCAAAACTCACTTCAGAGCTTCAGCTCTGGACAGGTGACTTATTCCACAATTCTTGCAGACTTTTTGCGAGTGTGGATGACTTACGTGGCTCCTCCAAAGAGAAGGACAGTGCCGCTGTGACAGTCGTCGGCTTGCGGGGGCACGTAACATGCTGAGTGGGAATGCGTCGGGGGGGGCGCTTTTCCTAGCGTTTCGACCGAGGACCACTGTCGATGTTCTGTTGCAGGCGACAACAATGTAAGAGTTGTAAAATCACCATTCCAGGTATGGATCTTCAGGTGTGTTTTACTGCTCGTACTGCTTCCAAATATGAAACGTTCTTGGCGCAGAAATGGTGGTAGTTTCAAACATAAGAGCAGCAACTCTGAGAACAAGTATCCAGGCAACGAGGGGTTCAGGTTGTCGTTGGATTCATACATGAATGTGCCATCAGCTTGTCCGTCTTCTGCGCCATCCATGATGAGAAGGAGCAGATTTTCATGACTACATGGCACCATGGTTTCTCACCCCTGCAGACATTCAGAAGATTCCTTGGCCTGTTCTTTGAGCTTGAAAATGACCTTCATTTGGACCGTCACATCTTTACTTTGTCCTTGAAGCAACTCAAGCTTCTAAAGGATACTTGAAGTAGACAAGGAAGTCAAATATGCAACAAAAGAAAGCCCTCACCAAGATCAAAACATGCCACGTCATTAAAACCTGCTCCAATAGTCGGATCATAGCCTCCAAACAAGAATACACGCTCTCCCACCGCAGCAATCGCAGCTCCAGTTCGTGCGTCCAGAGAAGTGGCCGGCCGCTCAATGCCGAACGTGTTTGCTTGACCGCTGCAAGAAGACGGGGAGGCCGCTTCCCAACAATAGGGCTCTTGGTCTGGAAAGAATGAACAAGGTGTATGAGTAAGAACAACTCTTGGAGGTTCAAGGAAGGCCCCTTCTGAAAGAAATCCAGAGAAAAGCTGCAGGCTCAATCCTAACGGTAAGTGGAAGTCGCTTAATATTTGCTGGCCTCGTCTGCAGCTGTATGCATCCAATAGAAAGGCAATAATGATCACTACCTTAGTGAAACCAGCAGATACTTTTTTACTTGGATGATTGAATATGGCTCTGATTGCGAAAGGGAATCTTTATGTTTAGCATCAAAGCTTGGCCCAGGTGATAAGTGATGGATAGATTGTCACTGAGCTCGGATCATCTACTGTCGCTGAGGCTCAGTAAATTCTGAGGAAGGCCATGATTAATATCGTGAAGGTTGGTAAGTTTATGGTCAGCTCTTGAATTTGAAACTCAAGAGCTCAGTCCAGGAAGATGCCTTACCTGCTGGTTGTCTCATTCACTTTTTGATGATGATCCACGTTTTCACACTGACAATGGACAAGCAATCCGTCATCCACAAACAGTGCAGACCTTTACTAATCTATGACAAGGTGATACGCTGAGAGCACTTGGTAGCTGACCTGTCTCCAGAAGCCAAGTGTCTGCAAGCATTTTTGGTCCTCTGTTTGCCCCTCCTGTCACCACCAGTGTGCTCCCAATTGCCGCCATCGCATGGCCGCCTTGGGCAGCTGGCCCAGGGCCCTGCTTGATGGCCGGTACGATCCAACTCATGATTTTTATGTGTCTGCAAACCTGAAAGCATGGAGCTGTTGATCAACTGGCTCGGCGGGGATCTGCAGTGACACTTTGGTGACTACAGGCGACATTTGCCTACAGCTGCTCCAGCTATTAGTATTAGGTAGTAAATTAGTATCCGGCTAGCGGCTGTGAACTCAGAACACTGTTCAAACAGGGAAGTTTGAACCGCTTTAGGTACCTAGTTGGTAATTGATTATCCTAGGTGCGGTAGTATGTACTGATTAGAGAATTGATTGGTAAACATCATACAGAGACACCCATCGCGCTGTAAAATCTGAGATTAAAAGTTATTCTTGGAAATCCGGATGTGAGTCGTTGGATGGTGCTACTGTCAGCAGACTTGAGTTGCGGACCATCCGATCTTCTGTTCTCGATTATTTTCTTGATCCTCTTTGTAGATCAGGCTACGGTACATGATTCGTACCTAGGTGGATTTGTGGGTGTACATGCAGGGTTTCAGACCGTGAGTCTTGGACGTCGTTGCACGAATTTTTGCGGAATATTGATCGCACCCACAATCTCAGCAGATTATACACGAGGACACCAGCGCAAAGAGCCTCACCGACCGGGACAAAACATCGATTGGAAAGTTCAAATTCACTGACTTTTGCGGTGCCAATGATTGGAATATCTTGTACTCCCACTACCTATGTGTACACAACGGTACCTTCTTCCTCCCTGGGCCTGTGAAACCGAGGTTGTTGATAAAAAGAACTCTACCGGAATTCTCGCACGCGCAACGCATGGCCCAGGTTTCACGACTTTTCACGTTCCCCAGTTCTCGATTCTCGGGCCTAGTTGGCCTTCATTGACCTAATTGCATTTCGAATGGCGAGAAACAGGGCTCCCGGAGTGTGGACACTTTCACTAGACGTCGATGCTCACTGATCGGTGCTTGGGGGCCTTATTGTGGGACTGGAAATCGACGACAGGCACCTTGTGACCGCTCACCGGGGGCCGTATTTCACGCAACCCATGGCGCTGGTGGATCGTCCCGATACCGTGACCTGTCACAATTTTGAGATGAGTCACCGAAGATCAATTCCCATTCTGCGCGAATTTATGAAGGGTAAGGACCATTAAAGGGTAACTAGGACGGGTAGGGTTAATCTGGGGGTTAGGGTGGGTACGGGTGCGGGCGTGTTGAATCAAGCTAGGTAGAGCAGTTTTACTTAGTTTGGGTTAGGATTTGAATGATAAAGGAGCTTTGAAGTTTATGTGTTCAAATATCCCCGCAGATTAATATATCTCTCTTGATCGCGAAACCCTAGGATAGTATAAGGTGGTAATTCCAGCCGCTTATAAGTTAGGTATAGCGCTCACCATCTCCCTCCAGCTCTCACAATTCTCAGCTAAGTTTCCTGTCTTTCTAGGTGTTTGACTGTTGGCATTGCGTCAATGTTGAGCGCGGCGCCGCTCTCAACTTGAATGAAGATGGCCATCTTCGAAGACATCCCGGACGAAGTGCTTGTTCAAGTGATTAAAGCCTTGGAAGATGTCGATGATCTGGCCCGGGTCCGTTTGACTTGTCGACGCCTGAAGGCGCTTTCTGAGGAGGTGAAAGCTCTGCTGATTGCAAACAAAAGCAGGGTTCTGCGCAAGTTCACTCTGAAAGGGGCTGTTCCGGGCAGCTTTGTGGCAGCACTTCTACCAAAATTGAAGAAGCTGTCACTGCGGGATACTACGTTCATCGACCTAGACGGTCCAGAGATTGATTTCAAACAGAACTCCGACGAGGAAGACATGACGTGGAATCTCAGGACCTCACCGAGATCGAAAGGACAGGCCTCAGCATTCTTGACTTGATCACTCTGGTCCCAAGTCTAGAGGTGTTGACGATTCACGCAGATCTTTGTGTTAAGGACACCAACGCCTCCTTCTCCTTCCTCACCGACTTATGTGTCACAGGCGGTGCTGTTTCTCCAGAGGACCTCAGGCGTTTGCTGGCTCTCTGTCCAATGCTTGAAAAGTTGAGAGTCGAATGTCTGGCGGCTACTTTTCAATACTCAGATGTAAGGCTGGAATCCTGGTCCGTGAAGCAGCTGATTATCCAGGAGATTCAGGTTTCAGGGATCCGCACCACCCTCCAGATCAACCTGACAGGTCTCGAAAGCTTTGACATCCCAGATCATCTGAATATCGAATTTGGATATGACTCCTCAATCCAGAGCCTTGTGGTGTCACCAGGCACAACCTTTTATAGGTCACAGGCAGTGACAACTCTCAAGACGCTCATCATTCGCAACCCTGTTCGCAACCAGGGCAATATGAACCTCTTTCAAACAGAGACAGATCCTCAGAGCAGAAACTGGAAGTGGCTGCTCCAGGAAGCACACGAACTCGAGACTCTGCACATCGAACTACTTGAAAGCAAGGTCATATCATATGGAGGCGCTGAAACTGTTGGTAGCAGAAATGTTTAATCTCAAGCAGTTGACTCTGTTCATTGGGGAGTCAGACTATGAATGGTTCTTTGCAAACCAGGTTGAACTGAGAGAGAGCAACGCAAATCTAAAGATTGACATGTGTCGCGTGCCTGAAAGGGGCCACTGAGGTGAGTTGAAGTTGCGCAAGCTGCTCATGGGCTGCACTTTGCACTACCATGACAGCTCTGCCTCGTTTCTTGTGCTCATCCTATCACTGTGGCCTGTAAAGCAATTAGTGCAATAGACGAGAGCTTTATCATGGACCAAATGTTGAGTCAATCGGGTACAACCCCAGAGACGTGTGGTGCATTGCTGCGTAGCCAAGTTCGCTAGCAGTTGCTAAAATGCAGTGCAGCCTGCACTGTACTGTGCTTGAAACGCCTCCCTGATCTGCGTTCCTTGACCGCACTTTCTTTATTGACTCTCCACACTCACAATCTAGTCAGGACAGGAGAGGATACATGGACGATAACAGGTGCAATTGTTCTCTGTCAGGCCGCACGACGCGCTGATCATGCAAAAGCCACGCACGGAAAGGTTGAGCAAGCGTCTCAGAAGGATCGCAGGTTGAAAGCACAGCCAGAGTCTGAAGAGTGGTGGCTGACCCACCGCGGGACCTTTCATATTGCACTAGTCCCACTGCTCGTTCAAGTATACGTATACGTTTTCTGCAGATGGACCCCTATGGACCCCTCTGTCTTTGTCTTTGACTTTGTCTAGGACCTCACGCGGTATATCTCGCATGGCGGCTATCGACAGCTTAAAAATCTGCATGTACAGCTGAAAACAAACTCGACTGAAGACCCAGAATTGGCATGCAGGCTGCAATTGGAATGTGAAAGCACTTGATGTAAGTTACAAATCTGGTGAAGTCTCACATGCAGCTTTCTGGAACTTTAAACAGATTGTTGCCGTGGATTGCACTCGAGCTGCCATTACCAATTTTTCGGTGCTCATACCCATCGAACCACTTAGTGTGTTGATGTTTAAGCCGCCTTATTTCTCTGCTGCGCCGTTTATGCAATGACCGACAACGTGCCATGCACCTGTTGCCGATCGGTGTCGATCTGCCGGCGCAAGCACGTCCATGAAAATATTGACTTTGCAGGGTGACTGAACGTACACATAACCAGGCGCACAGCCTGCAATAATCACTGAGCTAAGGATCAGTTTCAACTTTCAGTGTATTTTTGACTGACCACATACCGCGCGTCATACTTCATGTGTTCACGGCCATGGGTTCGCGCGCGCTTTTCAGGCACAGCCGCCTTGATCAAGAGAACATCATGCAATTAGCACATGTCGGACATGATCATCTCATGTTGCAAGAAGATATGATGAGTTGGAGCTAGAAGGCATCCGACCAATTGTCGTGCATGTATGACGTTCATTACTATCATCATCTCCACTGTCGCTAGCCTATATGGGTACTGACGCAAATATGTCGAGAGCAGCTATAATCACACGCCATGGACCGCGGCGTGCTGCTTAAGGATGATGCAATCGATGATTGGGGTAGGCATGTTACTATCTGATCAGCTGCAATGATCAAGTTTATAGCCCATGCACTATTCCTAGCTGGCGCATGCAGCCCGCTGCACAAGACTTTCGAAACGACGTCCATGACTTAGTCTGGTCCGAAGCCCTTGTGAGTTTAGATGCGGATGGTGCAGAACTCTTATGGTGTCATGATCGACAAAACACCATAATAATCTTCGTTGGCCGGCCAGCACAAGTTGGGTAATTGACATGTATGCTATTCGGTCCGAAGTTCAAGTCCAGCATCAACGCTGTTTCTAGCAATCTTTAGCCTCAACAGACAACGCCTGCGTTTGTGATACTGACCTGTCTTGTTTCCAAAACCAGATAGCTGTGCACTTCCAAATGTTCCTCGAACAGAAGGTTCATGCAAGCTAGCAGGATGTGGCAAAGCAATTCGTTTTGTCCACTAACCTTCTTTCAGTAACCGCCGGATGCATTGTTGCCTTGACCAGCTCGTACGCATTTCGCATCCGCAGCGCCACCGTCATGTCCCACGGGCTTCTCGTCCTTCACAATCGCCGCACCTCCTCAATAGAGGCCTGTCGCCTCCAGGCCGAAGAAGTGCGTTACACTAACCCGCTTCTCCTTTGGCCCAGGGTTTGCACCAGGCTCTGTCACGCGACAGCTCCGGCGGCGGTGAGAATGGTGCTACGTCGGAGGCGAAATCTTGTTGGGAGCGTGTCATGGGAGATCCGGCCACAGAGCCCATGTTGCGGACCTGGTGGTTTGCTGCCTGGCAAAAGCAGAGAGCGGTGTGAATATTGTCCAGGCTGCACAGCTGGCAGAAGCGGAGCACGGAGTATACACTCTCAGGTAGCGATGAAAAGGCTACAATTGGCGGACTAACATTGCTCTTCCAAACTGCTGATTGTCAGAACGTAATCTGCTACAACTCCATTCCGTCGTGCAGCGATTTTATGCCGTTGGAATAAAGACGTCCAGGTCTCACAATCCGTCGATCTCAAACAGCATGTTTCCGTACAGCGTCTTGAAATGCAAGATCAAACCTCAGCTACGAAACAAGTGCGACAGGTACCGGTACAAACCGCTGCGGAGCACGATGTTGGACCAATGGTTCTTGCTTTCACGCTGAACCGGTGGAAGGAGAATGCGGCCTCCAGGCAAACACTCGTCTGACTACAACCCTCCAAGATCGAACATTCACTGGTGAGCGGCCAATTAGATGGTTGCCTTTCAGCGGTTGCCGTTCTCCCTCCACGAACTATGCTTGCTTATAAGCAAGGCATGTCAATGGCGACGAGGTTTGTGGGACATAAACGGCTCTCTCGAAACAAAATAAATAATCATGGCAGCAATGAGCGGACACAAAACCAGTCCACCTGAGAGGAGTTGAAACAAGCAGGCCAAAGCGGCCTCCAAAACGTCGAGATGTAGAAAGTGACACACGCCCTCAACCGTTGCAGGTACTGGGTCAACCTTCCATATCCATATTCCATATAACCTCCCAAGCGCCGTCCAAAAATTCAAGGTCGCTGCGCTTCGAACTCCTCAGATAATGAAATCGCGGACTGACACGTGTCGCCCACCTGCTGCATGTACTGACCAGCAGCCTGTCGAAGACAGTGCCCGGAGTCGTCGCCCCCCAGCTGAACGTGTAAACCCACACCCACCTCCGGCAGTTCCGGCTCCCTCAAAACGTCAATCAGCAGCCCCGGCCCCGAGGATTAGAACGTGGTGTTTCCGGCGACCTTTCCCCAGGGCTGCACATAGGGTCAGTTGGAGAGTGATCCCTCTGCTCGTTGAGAACCATGTACAGCTGGCGGAGTGACGTGGCAGTGAACCAGGTGTAGTTTTCCAATAACATTAACCGGGCTGCGCGAAGGGGTTAGCGGTGCAGGTCGGAAAGGGTGCCTCGTGGGATGGGGCGAGGAGGTGTCTCGAATGTCGGAAGAACAAGATTCTGCACGCTTTTGAGGAGGCGAAGAAATTCATGCTGGCGCTAAGGATAGGCAGGAAGCGGTGAAATTGCACGACAGGTTCACAAAGCAGTCAGATGGTGTTAAGAGGCGCCTGACGTGAAGGCAACACGACTGTCTTCGAGCGCAATTGATTTGTGTTCCCGTTCATTGCAAGAGTGAGAGAACAGGGACTGCAGCCAGAGCACAGGGACTGTTTACGAAAGATGCTTTCCGACGGGGGTTGCGTGAAAATGTCTACTGAGAGAATTGCCTCACAGACCAAGACCTGATCGGGAATTTACGAGGTTGCTTAGAGTGGCTGCTGCAGAGGATTCAGAAAAGGACGAGTAGGGTGATGCAACATCTGGCTTATTGAATGTTCATGCAGTAATTTCTGCACCTGTCGGCAGCTCGTGTTCTCGAAGAGGCTGCGATGGCAAAAACGTTGGACAATGTCACGCTTGTCAGACTCCCTTCACATATGATTGCGACAATATGCCAACAATTGGGAGGCACCCTAACAGAGTACGGGGCAGCAAGCTTGCAATTTCCTCTTCAATCTGCCCCGAGCTTGCAGTTTCCTCTTGAGGAGATTTGAAAGGGGACGAGAAGCGAACCAAAACTCTTTGCAGTGACGGCAACTGCTCTCAATGCCATGCCCATTAAAGGCATGGGGCAGATTGATAGAAAACCCGCATGATGTGCCAGGTCCATGAGGAAATGTACCGCTGTGTGCAAGGTATCAAAGACAGACCTGATGACCCTATGCAATGCACAGCCAAAGCAAGCTCCATCCGTAAGGAGACGAGGCCGCAGTATTGCAGCGGTTTACCTGCACAGGTTGCCGTCCAGGTAGCCTTCAAGTACTGCTTACGGGGGGGTCACTTCAGGTGACTGTATAAGCTCTGACCTGCGAAAGAGGGGCCACAACCGTCAGATCCTGGGATCTCATGGTTTTGATGGTTTTGATGGTTTTGAAGCGCCCAACAAATGATGCTTGTCAAGTGTCCCCTTGATGACGAATATCTACTTCTCCTGAAAGTGGTTCGGAGAAAAACTCGGGAACAATGGCAAGAAAAACTTGCATTCATATGGGGTGCCCTCCAAGATTGCTGTCCTGTTGTCGATGACCTTGGTTCCTCAGGCATGAACAACCCAGAGTTCTCTCTTCTGATGCCGTTATGCAGAGGAGCGGGGTTTCTTTTGCAAGAGAGGACATTGACAATGTAGAAGAGTTTGCCACTTGGTTCTTTCTTTGCAGATATGAAAACCTAGTGTTTGGAGCAGGATGGTGATTGAGGACAATGATCTGATAAACAAGTTACAGCAGAAGCGGGTCTTTGCAGAAAGAAGCTCTGGAACGCACAAGTGAGAAGCAGGAGACTATCTTGACAACTTGCCTGTTCCGCAACACTTGCCCCAAGCAAACACTTCGTCCACATTCTCAGTCAGGCTCTACGTTTCCTTGCCTTCTGGTCTAGAGAGTCTGCAGGTTCGTCTTTGGCAGTCTTATTGGTTCTCATTCCACATCCCCAAGCATCGAAATCTTGAGAGCATTGATGTCTGGGAAGTAAGCCAAACCGTCTCCAGTTACAAGCGGGTGTCTGCAAAAAGCAGTCTTGAGAATGGCCTGATTGTTGACAAGATTTACAAGTGAAAGTCCAACTTAGAGAGTCAATCCATGGCCTCCAGTTGTTGCTTGATGCCCAATGCCAGATAGTCATCTTGTGTTCACTTTTTCAAAACAAGGAGTGGGACCCCAGTATACCCCAACACCAGGAAACGTGCTTCAGAAACTCGCCCAATTGTTCAACAAGATGCGCATCATCAAAGCAAGAGATATACAAAAGTGCCCACCATCCCAGTTGCGGAAGAGCCGCGCTGCAAGCCATATTTCTCCACAGTCGCTTTTGCAGTGGTTGCATCCCTTCTTCCCATCCTCGGGCCCCTGATCATCGTCACCTCCGAACTGCCCACTGGACACAGGGGCTGCAGACAGACCTCAACAGGCTTCTTCGACGCCGGCAGTCCTTCCCCAAGGAGCGCCGCCGAGACTATAATGCAGGCTCCGCTAAGTTCTACAGCTGATGTTGGTCCTAATCAGCCCAGGAAACTAGTCAGCTAGCGAGTAACGGCTGACAGCGGCTGTCAATTTTCTGGACAAAGTGTGCTTGCCAGAAAGTGTGAACTGGAGATTGGATGCGCAGCGGCAAGGGGCAATGGGAGGGCGGTTGGTGCAGGAAGTTAGGAATCGGCAGCAAGAAAGCTGCCATGGCTGCGCAATGCCGTGTATCCTGATCTCTTCCAATACTTCCAATCAGGCCTCAGCTGTGCTTACAAAGTGCTTGGAAAGTGTTACTATTAGAAAGTGCTTCCAGGAAGTGGCGAGAGGATGCCAAGTGCCAAGTCACAGTGCTTCTTCAGATTGCTCAGCAATTTGCTGACGATCAGGCTGCCGCTCAGGCTGATCTTGAGACTTGAGCACAGAGTTCTGAGTTCTCTCCCCAGCCCCCAGCCCACTGCATTATGCATGTATATCTGGCGCTGTGAGAGTTCAACAAAGAGGCCGTATGGCGTATGGCAATGCTCTCAGAAGGGCCTGCTGCGGCCTGCCTGCAAAACGGGCCCACACACATCAGGGATGACGTCTGCGCCCTTGGGTGGAACCAGTTCAGATGGGCAGACCGCTGCAGGAGCTGCGAGGCTGTTTGGCCCCCTGCCGAACCTCCCCTGGTGGCTCTTCTTTTACTCTCTCCCAGCACTCCTGCAATCTTTCATAAGCAATCAAAACCGCTGGCAGCGGCCCTTCTTCATGAGCAAGGGTTAGGCCAGAACTGTCAGCAATTTGGTTCAGTGAGAAGAGGTTTGGGGTGACTGTCATTGGAGGTGACTCTGCAGAGTGTGAGGCATCGCCTGCCACTGCTTGGGAGGGGCTTCCCTCTCTCCTGCTGATGATGAACCTTGACTAGGTCGCTTGAGTAGCCGTGCAATCCAGCCGTCGGGGGCCCCGCCAAGAGCTAGCTGGTTCATGAGGTATGTCACTATTTCATGATCCTATCCGTCACTTACTCCGTAGCAAGTTTGGCTGCGGAAAATGGAGGTTAGTCTGCTGAGGTGCCTCCCAAAAAGGGGGCCTTTCAGCTAGTCTTTCTTAATGAAATCAGCTGACTCCTTACAAAGAGGCTCCCAGCTACCTTTCAGGCTGCACAGAAGATTGAACTCAGCCCTATTGGATTTTCTGCTTGTGCTTCTCAGCGAAAATGACAAGCGCAGCGCGCTGAGGAAATAATATTGAATGGACCTTCAGAAACTGAAAGATTGATGCTTACATCCTGATGCCTTCATCAGGTGGGCGCCCCCTCGGTGGCAGAAGTGGCAGAATAGCCGACAAAAAGCCTCTTGTGACGCACTTCAAGGGGCCTGGAGTGTGGGCCCTGCATGGGCAGACGGTCAAGATGCAGTATGCCCAAGATCTGCGCAAAGTGAGGCCTGAATATCTTGTCGATTCTTTCTCACGCTGCTGTAGATCTAACACCCTGGTTGGTCTCACCACATGCTCCTATCGGTCTGGCTGCCCACCTCTGGTGGCGCCTGAAGATATTAAGGACGACTTTCAGCTGCCTCGCTGACGCCGCTGCTTTACAAGCTCGTCACAACTCTCATGTCACAGAAATGCAACGGGTTCAAATAGTAAGCCATGAACCGGTAAGATACATAATAAGTCAATTGATGTATCAAAAAGCTTCAGGTCTTGAGAACGGAAGTTGTTTTTTGACTGTATCTTGTGCCCAACTTGTGTGCGCATCTCCTCCGAGCTCAATCGCAAGCTTCTAATGGTCCCCCTTTCTTCCCTGTGCAGCACGCCTCATCTGTTCATATACAACGTGATGGCTACTGCGAGCTGATCACGTCCTCACCATGACGTGCAGAGCCGTCAAAACGTTTTACGCCTGCGAGTAATCGTAACGACCGGGACATTCATGAAAGGCGCCATCTGGGTGGGGCGCCAAACGTTGCCGGCGGGCCGTGCAGAAGAAGGGGCCTTCTGGTAAGCACGCGGAGCTCTTGGGTCAGATCCATCCTCTTGGCCGAGCCCTTAACCAGTTAAACAGTGGCAGTTCGAGATTGTACGCAGTTTCCCCCAAGGGTTCAGTCTTTCCCTGGCAGCTTCGCATGGAAAAGTGGCAGAACGCAATTCTGTTCTAGTGAGACGACATGGGTTTGGTATTCTTATGAGACGTGACTCCCCCGTGTGCCAAAGCGTTCCCTTTTGGAGGCACTGTTAATAAACGGTTCAGACCTTGTTTCGCTCGAATACAGTCAAGCATTTGAGCGAACCAGTTTGTGGTATAGTTCGCCAAGCACACTGTCCTTGCTACTGCTTTTGTCAGAAGTCCCTAAGTTGTTGTTTTCTTTCGGGGTTCACATGCTGAAGCTGTCTCCTTGCAGCCGGCTTTGAAGGGCCTCATGGGTACTTCTGGAGCCTTGGCTTTCAAAGCACCCAGCGCAAGTGGGCACTCCCTGCTGCGACGGTCGACTTCAGAAGCTGACGGAACAGACGTGAGCCGATGAGCCGCGCTTTGTCAGCGTCGACCTGGAGGCGCTTCGGGGACTGGAATACGGAATAGTTCCCCTGCGAAGGACGGTGGCGACATAAGCTCATCAACGACTCCTTGCACGAGAGACCGGCGCATGGGGGGTCGGTGAACGCCAAGGGGCGCGGCTATTGTCCCTCCATCAAGAATAAGTAAGACTCTTAGAGGGAGTTGAGCGGTAGCTCAAGTTTTTTCGAACGTTGATTGCAGCAAATCGGGAGGCATCGAAGAGATGGTTCAAGACCACAAGAGTTCCTTGTACTTTTTTGCATGCATCTCGGACACTTTTAATAAGCTGCATTCTGCGTACGCTGTCGAGTACGACTTTCTGTATGCATAAGCTCCTGACGCTCATGAGAGAAGCGGGTGAAAGGACCGACTTCAGTAGCACAGGGGGGGAGATGCTTTTTGCTGCTGCTCGGATTGCGCAATCTGTGCTCGTAGAAGCTCCTTTCCTTTTCAGAATGGTGACTAGTTTCTGTCTGTGCTGGTCTGTCAATCCTGTTGTCTGTTGTTTCCATAATGTCTCGCTGGCGACCCTCCTTCCTCCCCAAGCAAGCGGCTCTGTAAGAGGCATGAGCTTAAATCCGAGGAACTCTCACTAGTCAGTTTACAGAGCACCGCTTAGGGCCACCATCTGCCCGCCTTTTCGCCAACCGTCTGTCATCCCATGGCTCCTGTTCGACCTCGCCGCTCCTGTTCTTCATAATGGTCATCCAAGTTTGCTTGTTTTGCCCTCCAGGCTGAAACAATGCCGAAAACCACTCGCTAATCGCTGCCACAACCCATGGCGACATTGAGGCCAGAGAACCACACTCTAACCAGACGCGGTAGACGACGAAGGTTCCCCCGCAAGTCTTGTCTTCCGCTGTCAAGGCCTCTCTAAAGTGGACGAATTCTTCATTGTTCGCTTCTCGGACCCTCTCAAATTGGCCCCACCTGTATCCGCATCTCTTGTTCCCTGCGGGACCATATGACTCGGTCAACTAACCATGATTGCTTTCTCACGGGGTTTGATTACTTCCATACAGTATATCGCGTTTCCCCTTCCTTGCCCATCTCACAAGGCACGAAAAGCTGGCGGAGCTGTACTTGTAAGCATATATTTTCGGGTGCGCTTTCCCCCCCTCTAGTTCCTCACCCGGTCTCTTTTTCCTCGCCCTCTCAGGGACGACATTCCGAACAAGCACTGTATCCATTAATGGGTCCGCTTTTTAACTTCCCTAGATTTCTATCTGGTCCCCTTCTTCCCACCCTCTCAGGCACGAGACCCAGATCAAGCTCTGCATGGTCTTCCAGGACGCCCGGCGAGTGACCCGGGTCCTCGAGTACTGCTCCCGTCCACGTTGGCGAATCGCTCGCCGAATACGAAGGCTACATGGACGAGAAGATGGTCGTCATGCGAGTGAGTTGCTGCCACGTGGCATCTGGCCCTTGATCCGGTATGGACGGGAGTAGATGTTATACAGGCATGCGACATGTTCCGCTGCTTGGTAGTTGTTTTCTCGGCTTTCCGGTCATAGTCAAGTGGCAGACTAAGGAACGGAACACACCAACGTATCGGGACCTTATTGGTGAGCTGAGCTGATTACCGGCTTTCTTAATCGCAGGTGATTGCGCTGCTTCTTTGGGCGCTCGACTACCTCCACAATTAGTGTACAAGCAACGGTAAGTGGGCCTTTCTTGACATATCGATTGCCTACTTGTAGACACCTTTAAGCTTATGCATGTTTCTGGTCGTGTCTGTCGTCCTCTTCTCAATATTTTCCGTTGCTGTTTTCTATCTTTAGCTTCCTGGCACCTGTGTACTGCAGACTGTGAGAAGGAGCGGTCTCCAGTAGGCCGGGGTCGGAGCCGTCATTAGGCTGGGCTTGTGCAGTAATGCTTCATGTAGCTGCGGCGGAAGTCGTTGTTAGCAAGTTCTGGTCAGAGTTACTCTTTTGGGCTTCATGTCGCTTCAGAGATACCTGGGCACGCTGATCGACGACCTGGCAATGAAGGACCTGCTGGGACCATACCGCATGCTCACTAGCGGGCGCTCGTAGAAGTTTGTGTAACGCTGGTTCTTGTTGGATATATTCTCGCTCGTTTTGCGACCGTGTGCCCTACGAACGTGCAGGGCTCGTAGACGACCAGCAACGGCGAACATGCTACAGTGACTTGCGCCAGCTGGTTTCCCAAGAAAAGAGCGATTAGCGTCAACCTGCATCATTCAAAACCACCCCCCTAGGTTAAGCCGTAGTTGTTGAGCAGTCCAGGAAGCCCATGACACGGAAGATGACCTCAGAAGATGGTCCCCAAATCATGGTTTTCAGAAACGTAGGTAGTCAAGAAGAGCATGGTTACAGAAATGAATCTCTTCTGGTTTGAAAGAAGGTCCATACTGGACCATTTTGCATAGTCAAGATCGAGTGCTTCATCGCTCGGCAGCAGCAGAAGATGGACCTTGTAACGTGCACAAGTAACGGATGCTGGACAACAGTGACTTCGCAGTCAGCACAAGTCTTCTGCATGGGGGGCGCAGGAAAAGCGGAATGGGACGCCTCTGCTGAGTCGGCCAGGCTTCGCCTTTGACCAGATTATCTGCATGGGTTAACGGTACTTACGTCCTGATTATTACTTCAATTTGGCCTGTTTCTTACAGCCCAATTTCATACGGCATGCCTTCAAGCAATCATTCAATCAACTCAGTGCCAGACCTATTCAAGCTTTATCATGGATTCTAACTACTGTAGGTCATTATAGGATATTGGGTTTTGTATGACTGTCACCAGTCTAGTCAATTAAATGACGGCACGACGTAGTTACGTATCGATATGAATTAATCGTGCGCCGCGTGCATGCGGACAGCTAGCGCCGCGGACATGGCGTATGAAATGACATAGTGTGCGGACTCCATGTGCACATATGTGCAGCTGCGCGAGCTACAGGACGCAAAAATTTGCAATACCATGGAAGTTATGCAACTTTTAGTAACACTCATACAATATCATGCGAGCACGGATCATGTGGAATACAACCGTCACGTCGAAGAAAAGAACCTGTTCGATCCTGTGATAGTATACCCATCGAGATGCACAGAAAGTTGATAATCCAGGAACGATAACAAGTTTTTAAATAAGTGCGGCACTGTACACAAACTAGAAAACATCTTGCTTAGTAGCTTACGACCCATAAGTTCTTATACGACCCTAATATGTATTTTGCAATAACTCATTTGCGTGCAGCATCATAAGCATGTATTGAAGTACTTGAGTTGCATACATGTAAGAAATGAAAGCTTGATGCGTTCACACAGTCAACTATGATCCTTGAAAGCTTGAAGTTAGGCATTATGCTCGATGAAATAAAGACCGCTGTACAGATGTCAAGGGGAGTATTAAGAGACTTGCAAATTGTATGGAGGATTCTGCCCTATAAACAAAGCAAGACGTTGAGCTTCCTGCTTCTGAAAAATTGTCCACAAAGGATGAACCTGCATCGCTGTGAAGGCGCCAACACAAAATGTAACAATGTCAATTCGAGCCTCGAAAGCAGATCACCTAGGCTGTGCAGTGAGCTGTAAGAGAGTCACAAAGGGCTGTGCTCAGCGGCTTATGCCGATTCAGCCAAAGCAGCTCGCTCAAGTACACTGCGCTAATTGACTGTCTATTGAGTAACAGGGTCTATGCAACACCAGCTGCGCTGATTACACGCTGTTTCCGCTCCCACCGCCTCACTTTGCTGATCGAGCTCAGCCGGTCCGGCAACTCGTCGGGTGCAACCAGCCGCACATTCTCGAAGAAGCTTCCAACCACAGACTGATACGCATAGAGGATAATTGTTGCCAGCCTGTTCGTGTTTCCTTGCCTGGCTTGCGCATTCCTAATGCACTGCAGGTACTGCTGCTTTGCCTGCCGGTGACCCGAAGAGAAGCCCAGCGCAACTGGAAACGCCAGCCCGCGGGACAGCAACACCATGTTCATGAGCAGACGGCTCATCCTTCCGTTCCCATCATCAAAGGGGTGAATCGCGACAAACTCGTACGACAGCCATGCGGCAAGCTCAAACGGATCGCTGTCTTGTTCATGCTCCCGCCAATTATACTGGTGCAGGAGCCAGCGGAGACTTCCCACAATGGCGGCAGGAAAGGGGAACTGGTGCTGCCCTGCATTGCAAGGCTCTGTCCTGAAAATTCCCGCTCCGACCTTCTTTCCATCCTCCCGTACCATGTCAGTCATCAGGATCCTGTGTGTTTCTTGTAAAATCAGGAAGTCTAGCGGCTTCCCTTCTGTGACCATCTCTGTATACAGGTATCGGAATGCTTCCGCATGCTGTAGCACTTCCGTCCTGCTCTGCCTACTGTTCGAGCGATTTTCTTCCAATCCTACTGGTTCTCCCTTCAGGATCTTGACGCACAGCTTGTGGGTGTCGCTCAGGGAAAGCCCAGCCCCCTCTATTAGGTTCGAGAAGTAGATGCTGCATGTTGCTGCCCAAACAGAATGCTCGGCCCCCATGCGAGCAGCCGTGCTTCCATCAAGGATGTCTTTCAGACTTGCAATGTATAAAGCAGTCCTTTCAAATACTATGTCGGGGTCCTCTAGTTCCCAGGGCAGCCTGGCGTAGTTGCTGCTGACGTATTCAACCTGTGTCTGTGGGGCAACGTCCAACATGTTTTTGAAAAGGTGATCACCGTCGAGCTTCTCGATGGCAGCAGCATCCTCTACCGTACTCTCAGGATTCTGCCTCATGTCTGCTCTTTCCATGGCTGGAGCGTTCACCTCCTCCGCGTGCACCATTCCTGAAGGCTGAAGGATGAAGGCAATGAACAGATCTTTCCTGGTGGAGTTTGGAGACTGGAAACTGGAGTGCACTGTGCATGAATGATTAAATCTGGGATTTCTGCTTCTGATCACCTGCCTGAAATTTTCAGCATGTTCAGGTTCGGAATCCCTTGCTCCGTGAAACAGGGCACCCGGGCCCAGGACAGCATCCGCCAGTCGTCGATATTGCTGGATGTCGGTTTGAGATTCCTCTTGAAGTTCGGGGGCAAATTGCACAGGAAACTATCTGGGGCTTCGGGTATCCTAATCTTAATCAGTTACAAGCAGATTCGACGAACAGCAGGTTCGTAATCATGCTCCGGGGGACATGTTTCACGCGTCGCATGAGCGCTGTGGAGAGTTATGGACCTCGTCGAACTCGGAATGTGCATGAACAAGTCGAACTCGTGCAAGGGTTTGAGTACAGGTAGCCGGGCTCTTGGAATCAGAAGCTACCGGTTTGTGGATATGAACACTGCAAACCCAAGATTAGCCTGCTCGGCGCCTACTAGCCACCCCAAACCCCAAAACGAACCCTATTAGGTAGTACCAGTCTTCCGGGCACTGCCCAACATCCGGTGCGATTCTGCGAGTTGCGTACCTGTTGCGAAACCCTAGCGTCACCGAAACCCTAGAAAATTCGTCTGTTTGGTGCAGGTTGCAGTGCCGCGTGCGCACCTTCCTGTGCAGAGCTCTGTTTTGACAACAGTAGGTAGTCCAGTGAACAAAAACGCTTTGCAGGTATCTGATATGTACGTTTCTTCCCACAACTGCAACATGTGGAAGACCTGGCTGTATTTGGCGCCTGAGGCGAAGCTATAGCAGCAGACCGTTGAGTTCTTGGAGGTGGTCTTGAAGGTGGTCAAGCACTTAAAGTTGACTAGTGGGCACTGTTCTGGATTGTGAAATTGGTGAAGCGTTTTCAACTTGACTTGTGGGCTCTGTCTCGAGTCTCCTTGAGGACAGGCGTCTGCTCAGCAAGTGGCCATGGGCTCCGCCCGCGAGAGATTGCCTTGGTGGGAGAGGGGTGAGGGAGAACGACTGCTGGCGGTCATTCAGCAAGCACAGCTGTTGGCAGCAATTACAGACCCGGCCATTGTGCAAGGGTTCCGCCATAGTGCATTCGTGGTGTATACATACTTGAGCAACAAGCTGGAGGGTACTCTGCCAACCAAAGTGCGTGCGCAACAGACATTCCAGATGTTGAGCAGCTCGTGCGACATGGCAGCACCAGTAGACCTAGAAACCCCGCCACAGGTTCAATGGCCTGCAGAAGGGGGTTCTGGCAGCACTGCCAGCCAAAGCCAGGCCCAGTTGCAGCAGAGCCTGGCAGCCCTGCAGTACCTATGTATTGACTCGCGGCCAGGGCAGGAGCCCCTGACAGTCGAGAAGATAGAAACGGCACACCGCCTGTTGATGTGGGATGCGGTGGACGAGGAAGGGGTTCCTCTAGCTGCCGGGCACTTCTGCACTGGGCCTGCGCACTCTGGCTCTGGTTATGTCTATCCCGACGCGCGCGTCATTCCCCATGCGCTGGAGCAGATAGTAAAGGAGTACAATGAGAAGCAGGGCAAGGGGACCGCGTGGGGGGCTGCGGCGGACCTGCTGTACCGGGTGGTGAAATTGAAAAAGTTTGCCAATGGGAACGGCCGCCTCTGCCGTATCCTCGCTGCCTACGCCCTCATGGCCCACGGCTGCCCGTTCCCGGTCGCCCTGATCAACGGGCACAGTGGGACCAAGGCGCACTTTATGCAGTGCATTCAGCATGCGGACAACTTGCACGAGGGCAACACCAAGCGACTCAGCCTGTACATCATGGAGTGCTTGAGCGTCAAGTATGCAAACTTCATCGCGAACGTGAAACTAGAGACAGCTTGCAAGTCGCGTTAACTGTGGGACATTTGCAGTCGACTGAAGTTGATTAACTTGGCTAAGTGGCTCTAGTTCCTACTGTGCTAGTGACTGCTGCATAGCGTTACTGCTTTTGACTGAACAGCGCTGTCTAATTACCCTTGAATTACTGAACGTTGCATTCTTACCGCTAACTCAGGTGCTCAGATACAGTCAACGCACTAAGTGAGGATGCAGTGTTTGAAATTACGGCCAGGTTGTGTAGCACTACAGCTCGGAGACAGACGAATCACGGAAATGTGATCCGACTGGTCCGAATTGTTGAACACAACTGTCATGAGCAGAGCTGACTTGTATTTATTGAAATTGAGGAATGTGGTCAAATCCGCGTTCCCTGCCGCGCGCACTTCAAACAGAGTGTAAGTAGGTACACATAACTTTAGTCAGGCGCGTTTGAAGTTGCATACCAATATACTTGCAAGTATAATATTTGAACGATTCTTGGATTGTTTCGAGAAGTCAATGACCGCGCGTTGCATGATGTTCTCTTTTCAGAATGGCACGGACATGAGGATAAATCTGCATATCATATATGCACAGCATTCGCCTTGAGCTAGATAGCCGCCGCGGCGCAGTGCAACGTTATTCACATGCACATGTCTCATTTAATGTATCGTATTTCTACATGCAGCTATTGAACACCATGAGCAATTGTCAAATTGCATTGAACTGGCTAGCCTCAAAAATTGCTTAAACCGCATACAGTACGCGTCAAGCTGCCGGACCGCGCCCAGCTATGAATTGTGGCTTTCAGCGGGCCTGCAGTGTGGGCCGCCAGGTTCTTACGAAAATGCCATGCAACCGCTGTTGTCCACGTGTCAGCGGCTCCGTCAGGGCACTGCAATGATGAGCCGAGTCGACTGAGCGTGATTCGACTATTTTGAAGAGCTATCTTTTGCAGCAAACGGTCCGGCCACTGTTGTGCATGCCAGCTCAGCATGCATTTCAGTAACTGCCATCGCCCCACACCACGATGTATAACAGGCGGCAAGCACCTGATGCACCACCACTGCACTTTGCCGCGGGCAACAGTCACGCTTATACAAGCATGTCGATCGTTATACGTATGCCCACTAAAAGGCCACAACGACGACAATTTCAAAGACAAAGACATTCAGTAGTTGTTTCATGTCCGGTTGCTGTAATGACGACGTGATTTATTGTGTATCTTACCAATCCGATCGAAAGTGGTGGTAAACTGCAAAAGTGAACTCGAGGCATGGCAGCAGATCTGATCGCACGTGCCATTTGACGACCGCTTAGAATGAGATTCACAAACACCTCGGATCGCACTTCTGAGGCCCTGCCTGATGTGTCCGAGCGATGTTTGAATGTCCCTGCAAGCCGTGTTCTTACATACTGGTACGTCAGCAAGGACATTGTGCAATCAAATAGAGCCACCCCGTTCTGAAGTCGGATTGTCAATGGCGGGGTCGTACGTCGCCAGAAACAACGAAAACGGTGATCTACATATGTTACAAAGAAATCGAGGCACGGGTAACCTCATTGACACCCTGATTCCCTGACACGGCCACCGGGGCCCTAGCCGTCGATGTCTTTCCGGATCTCGGCGATTAAGGTGGCGCGCGGACTTGTGGAGCCCTTACTTCGATCTTGCCTGTGCATAGGAACGACAAAATCTAGTCAAGTGTGATGGCAAACACAGAAACCAACGAGGACAGGGTCCTCATCAGCTTCACACCGGCAAGGAGACCATCAGCACAGATACATTAGGTGGCAGCTTGCTGGGTTCTCAGTCGACAAAACGTGCGGCCACTGCTTCCAAGGACACAACTAATATTGGCAATCCAAACACAGAACGCGCGAAGAGAGGGGAAGAAGAGGGAAAATTTGGCTGTTCTTCATCGGATCGGCTCAGTCCCGTCAAAAATCCAGAAGTCTTGGTTCGCCAAAAATGGGGAAAGCCGCTCTGCTCACCAGATTTGCGGCCGCCTCCGCCGGAGCACCTGTTCTCGGAACTCCTTGTCATCGGACTGCGGACCGTCCGAGCCTCTTCCTCGATGGAGGGAGCAGCGTCCGCATCGTCATCGTTTGTCGAGAGAAGAATCCGGTCGGGTCGCCTTTCTACCTGAAGTTCCAGGCCAGACTCAGTCAGGGTGACGGACTTCATTATTTGCAGATGGCCTCCGACTAACAGGATTTGCACACGCCAGAAGTGAACGACACGCTAGAAACCTGAGTGCTCCAGATTGCTCCTGGAAAAGTAGGCATTCACGCAATGACGCCTAGAAACAAGCAAGAAGTAGATGAGAAGAGCAAAGTTCTTCATTTCCTGAACAGGAATGATCCTAACGGGGGAAAAATTGCAAGCCACCATTATTGGAAGTAGCGAACGTAACGACAACAGTCTGGCCCACCAAACCCTTTGTTACGCGCTCTTGCGGCCGCGTCCGCCTTTCCTGCGACACGTCAACTAGAGTCCGAAACTTCAAGTGCCGAAAGCCTCTGCATTTTGGAAGAGCTGACTTTCCGATGCCATACAACCTGTCAAGGTGCTATAGATATCGAATCTTATTGAAAGCAGGGAGAAGCTACAATAGTAGCTCACCAATCGCTTCCGAACATCGCGCAAGCCCGCGGCCGCCCATGCCGCAGCCCGCCTCCACCACAGGATGTCCGGCAGCAGGTCGTCCTTCTTATTTGGGTCCATCACCGCATTTGCGGCGCCCGGCCGCTGCCACCCGTGCTTCATGCGTGGTCCATGAGGTCCTTGGTCTCTGCACGGCGGTGTTCCAAATTTGCCTCATCAGAGCTTGACTGTTCCTAAGTTGCAAGTTCTTGTGTTCTTGGACGCTGGCATCCTTATCTAATTTAGGGACGAACTGGTCCAGGAGTAATAACGCTTGCTTAATAAAACCTAAGTTCAGGGATTTCAAGGACGGGCTGTAGACGGAATCGAGGGCTTAGCATTTAGCACTTCAAGAATATTGAAAAACCCACCTTCGCTTGCTTGCTTCTGAGACATTCAATCCGAAAGCCAAATCAACAAAGAGACAGATCAGCGGGTAATCAAGTGACAGGACGGAGTAGGTAGATCATCCTCAACGTGCTTCAATGTGATTCGTGCTTCAATGTGTTTCGAGACAAACCAAAGTGAGAGCTTCAAAGCCTCACATCTCGCCGAGGAGCTGCCTACTATTCTGCTCCTGCCGCTTTTTCGCTCCTTGTGACAACAGGAAAAAGGTGAGAGGAGCAGAGCGGTGGACAAGACCAAGGGTAGCTTATGACCGACAAACCCACACATCATGTGGCCCAACGCCCGTATGGGACATGAAAGGACAGGAGGAAACGGGGTGGAGAAGATGGGGAAAGGAAGTCGGCGCTGTTGAGAAAGCAAAGGGAAGAAGACCAAGGAACAGGGAAAGGATTGAAAGGATAGAGTTCACGGAGCACTCCACCTGCATACCGGCAACTGGCGGCCGCAACGGCTTCTTCGAACCCGGTTGCGGAATTCAAACTTCAGCTCCTTGTCATCATCGTCCCTTATGCCCCTGTGAAGGCCGTTTCCCGTCGTAGCCGTTCTGCATCGTAGCGTTCAAAAAGTCGTAGTTTCGATCATCGTGTTGTCCTCGTACGGCTCTCGCTCTTGTTAACCGTTTTGATTTTGTGCAATGCAATGGAATGATGTGGTGAGCTCTTAAAGGAATTCTTTGCCGGTTACACTGAGAGGGATACGATGCCTTGGTTCATTCTCTCTTGCTCTCTTCCTATCGCTTCTCTTCTCTGCCGCAGCCCCCTTGCAAGAGAATGATCAGCGATTGCGTGGGCTCGAACCCCGATGCATTTGTAGGTTCACCGTTGCACAGAAGCATTCGTCTAAACGTTCCCCTCCTTGAGTTAAACCACAAAATTCCGGATCAGGAACTTTGGTGGAGCATCAGAGTTTCAATAGGCATTCTGCAACTTTCCATTGTGATACTGCGGGGGAGTATGTTACTAACACGAGTCCCTTTCAATCGCTCAGCGCAGGGAAATTCAAGGCAAGCGATGGGACTTTTGAAAAATACTTTGGAGGTTCGGGTAGATCCAAACAGATTTTTAGAGGACACACTTTCCGCTTACAGGGTTCCTCTAACGTTGATTAAGAGGAGTAAAAGCACCCAGATAGATGCTAACGAGATCCAAGTAGTAAGTTGCCTCTATGCCGAGCGTGCTCTAGTGAACGCCTACAATAAGCTCCGGTCCTGAGGGTTGCGGTCAATGGCGTAAGCAGCGCCGGACAGCGCGCACCTTTTTGTGAGGACGATCTCCAGCACCATGTCGCTCGTCGCTGTCGTCACGTCCGCCCTCGCTGACGTCATCGCCGGGGTCATCAACCCTCTGGCGTCCTGCAGTCGCCTACTTCAGGACGTTTTCGGGAAGAAGCTTCAGGACGGGCTGCGGACGATGCGTCCTGCCAAACCTGAGGAGTAAAGCACAGAGGATCAAATATGGCCTGGCTAAGAAAAAATTGAAGTGGAGTCTTCGTCACACCAAGTAGCGGCTTCCGTCCATGAAAAGGATGGGGATGAGCGAAAAAGCAAAGGGGCTTCCGGATCGGATCCGGACGCTCTGGCGGTGGGTTCGGTCCCTGCGAAACACGAAGTGGGTTACCCAGAAAGTTGAGGTATGTATGACGAGGAGAGACTTATCTGAATGGACACAACTAGGTACAAATATGCAGAAAAGAACGCTTCAAGCGTGGACCAGGTCT